GGGGGGGGGGGGGGGGGGGGCTGAAAACGAGGGCCGAAGGCACGAGTCGAACGCGGCAGAAGCGAGACTTTATAGGGGAAATTTTTAAATTTAGAGTCTCTGAAATGCCATTTCCTGGACATTAGGGAAGATTTGACAGAATTCTGATGGTCATAAAACAGCTTTATTGCCTGCATGATTGACTGCAGCCCCCCCCCCCCAGCCCCCCGGTTGCTACGGCCCTGCTTATAGACCGAAAGCTTTGCAATAATAAATATATATGTATGTATAGCCTATAAAAATAATCTCGGACACTGCAATTAATTATATGTAACGACTGAATGTCTAATTACTATAATTATTACAAACTGTAATTACTAAACGAAACTGCCGCTTCTCCAAACACGAAGAAAGCCACAAAGTTTTGTTTAACAGTGGATGTAGAGGTATTCTTTAGTTTAAACTATTTCTAATCAATAAAATTACTAAAAGCATGTAAATATTGTTTTGTTTACAACTACTATACAGTAAAGCCCCACATAAGAGAACCAGAGGTTAAAAACCACTAGCCTGAAATATGTGCAATTAAGCACCCAAAATACAAGTTTTTAAAAGTTTTTTAAGTTTAGATATATGTAACGAGAACCATATTAGTGTCATAGCAATAGTTTTATGCAACAACAATCCCTATTAATGTGTAGAATAGAAAAAAGTATAGTGTGAAGTAAGATTATATAAGAACCACGTCAACCTGAAGTCAAACTTCACTGGTTCTTTTATGGGGGGTTTTATACTGTACGGGAGCTGCATAAATGTACAAATTGTTTTAAAATATTTTCGTTGTTTTTTGGTCATTTTTGTCTTGTCCATTTAGTGTACACCATCTGATAATGGTATACCCTAATCTTAATATCGAATCCTTGCGCTATTCACCTCCACGACTGTGAATATAAATTGTTGAAAATTGCATTACTATTTCCAGTCTTTCCAGTACAAGCAGCCAATACGCAGACGCGTTTGACCGCGATGTTCATCGATTCCTTAATATTTGCAAACAATACTGGTGCCCAAGCCCATTTAATGTTTAGTGTTATCTTCATTTCAGTCCAAAGCCAAGCACAATCAACGCTCGCCTCAACCTGTTTTGTAATTCTACTGCTTCTAAATGGCTAAGTGGGCCATCCACACGGCTGTAGATCATACGGTAGTTAAAACTGAGGCAATGTTTATCTTCGTCATGATAAATTTCAGTCAGTTTTATTTCTTTTACACAATTCTTTGTTAAGGCTATTGTTGTGAGAAAAAATAGTTCTTGAGAGACATCATCCGATATCCAAAAACTAATGTCATGGACGTGTTCAGGAGGAAATAAGTTTATTGGTACCGGGATGAACGTTGTTCTCTGATCCACATGATCTTCCTACAATTAAACAAAAGACACAACTTCGCAAATTAAGATAAATATAGAAATCTACACTACATGGGGCTTCGAGTTAACCCTCAGCTAGCGCAGTATATATACATGTCTCCATAGACCTTTGAATCATTCGTTTATCATGAGAGTGTAATTTTGGAATCACCAGTTTAACTTCATGGTAGAACAAGTTTCATATTTCACCGCGATTAAATTCAGTTTACGAGTATAATCTAGAACAAATCCAAAATATCAAAATAGATCTTGATTTGAAAGCAGTGAATATCATAGTGACCAGCAGAGAAAGATACAATGTATATTGCGGTGTATAGTGTAAGTGACTGTGCTGACGTAGCGAGCGAGGGTGACAAAGTGAAGAATGCCGCCCCGAGTTTTCATCTTCACGAAAAAGACCCTCTCAAAACTTCATTGTCATGACATGCATGTTGCTTGTTGTCAAATGGAGTTGAATGCCTTTGACAAATTAAACTTGCAAGGTTAGTCTATTTTGTGAAACTCATCGTATACATGGATTGGATATCCCGCATTAAGTGTACATATAAAATTAGTATTTCTGAGCATCTAAATTGGGCATGTGGTCAGAGCGCTGGTATATAGGTGAAGCGCCGGAGTGAGCTTGGCTTCAATTCCATGTTGGAACATTTAAAAATTAATTTTCAGCAAATAATTCGAACCTATTTTGATACAACTTTCTAAATTAATAAAATTCTTACTAGGCGTACCTCTTGAGCGACTGTTGACTTTCGTTCCCACTTGAGAAAGGCAGATGAAAGAAATCGAATGTCGGATATGTTATGTCGTACCATAGCCAGAACATCCAGATTAACGAGAATAAGCCATCCATGCTTATGTCCCGTCAATTTCAAAACCTCCTGTTTTGGACAACCACATATAATAACCACAGTTGAACGCTTTTTGAACACTCTTACAGTGCCCTGATCAAAAAATTCCGTAGGCATCCGTTGTGTAGATTCGATACGAGCGTCATTTCTTAGATATCTTTGACAGAGGCTTTCACAAGTACAGTTTGATTGAACATGGTCTGCGCTTTGCGCAGCTTCTGCTCTCCTTTTCAACTGACATTTGTTCCTAGCCAGATGAGCAACTTCAGAGCTGTTTGTCCATATCTTTGAATCAGTATTAGTTTCAGAATCAACTTCATGAAAATAATCATGTTCATTTGAAAACATTTTCTTTAGCTTATCCATAATTTCCTGTTTTTCTGAATCCACTTTCCCAAGACTATTTTCGCCCTCATCGTCATAAAATCTACATATCACCAAATATCTCATACTGATATTTGATTCACACGTAACTTCTTCAGATATAGTTAAAGCAGCACCAGTTAAAACAAATGAAGAGCTTTTATTCATAGCTGACAATATCCTGTTGCTGTTAGTGACTGTGCTGTCTGTTTCACCAACCCCATCATCTTGTTGAACATCTTCACTATCATTCTTTTCTAATATTTCTTCAAACGATCTGCCAGCCACACTGTTCAACATACTCAATATTGTATTCTTTAAATCATGCAAAGGGTGGCCAGAAACAAAGCAGCATGCAGTGGTACTCATGATGTTACCATACTGCTTACAAACATACGACAATAATGCATCAGTACTTTTTCCACTAAAACAAGAAAGCGAATCAGATCTTACAGTATATCTGTAGCAAAAATAAGACTAATTAGTTCTCCTAATCAAGTGATATAGGCAATCACAGAATTTAAGGTTCATCATAGAGTAACTACACGTTACTAAAACGAAAACTAAATAAATGCACTACTACTAGGGTTATGTATAGCAGTGTACTGAAAATTATATATTAATCATTTATATTTAACTGCATTGTCATATCATATATAATCTTTCTCCTTTAAGTGAATGACAAAGTAGTGACAAGTTGTTGCTTAAAATGTGATTGAATTTCTTTAGTCTTTTTTGCTGCTGCTTTTTGTCATGTGTGTCTCTACGTTTGTCCTGTTTTGATATTTTCGCCGACTAATTAAATATCGCAAATCTCCACTATGTTATCTATGGACATTATCTGCCAAATTCAGTTAGCCCTTATGTTATTTTAGCAGGCATTCTGGAATTCCACGATGCCGCGATTTCGCGGAATTGTCCAAAAATCGCGGAATTCCGCGGAATTTAGTTTCAACCGCAGAATTCCGCGAAATTCAGTTTAAATCGCGGAATTTAAACTTTGGTAAAGTAATTTTTTTTCTTTTTCTCTTAAATTCACAAAAAAATACATTTGTGTGATCTGATACAAGACGTTTTTGTAATTTAAAGCCTTATATGAACGGAGATTTTCTTCAAAGTGGAATGACTTTCATTGATATTCATCATTTCACTAGCCACTAACATTTATTAGCATTTTAATTTTTGAACTTCTAGTAATATTCCTGCAACTGCACTTCCGGTTCACATAATGTCATTTACGATCTGTACCTTTGGAGTTTGGTTCGTGAAAAAAGTTTGATAATGTTTGATGACAATTCAGTTTTCCATGACCGTGGATACATACAATTTAAAAACATTGGCAGTGACAAAACGTTCGCAAAAACCAACGCACTGTGGTTGTTTCTATTTCGGCTTCTCGAACTTGCTGTCACACGGTACTTCGATTAAGCTGCACTTGAAAATGAGTACGGCGTATATTCGGGGACGGCGCTCAAACAAGTAATTACAGTTTTCACGTCGATGACGTACTCACGTATGTTGGAACTCACTGTATATTAAATATGTCAGATTTCTTGTGAAACTGAGAAGTTTTATTCGACTTTCTAATATATTTCTTATTATCTTAATTGAAATGACCCAACAATTACTGTTTATAGCGGTAGATATTTTTATTTTGCCTAGAAATATCTGAATTTTGTCCGCAGAATTTTTCGTTTTGGCCGCGGAATTTGTCATTTTGGCCGCCCAATTTACCTCAAAAATTCCGCGGAATTTACTATTTTTGCCCGCGGAATTCCAGAATGCCTGTTTTAGGCAGATAGTACCCACATCTACTTATTCTAGTCTATATTAATAAAGTAAATAATGTAATGATTTACAATGGGTGAATAAATTCTTCTTCTTCTTCACCAAAACCTAGCATCTTGGTTGGAAAATTATCTGCATCATTGTGCACGTGTCCCCAAAATCACCGACAATTTGACTGTATCGAGTACACATTAGTAATTTAGACAAAGCTCTGCAGCGAAAACGTATCATCCCAGGTTCATATACTACTGTAGGACTATAGAACATTTTGCAAATGTTCCTGGTTATTAGGTTACTTATGTATAAATAACGTGAACAAATTGAAAAGACATTTAGAAGCAGAAGATAAAACATATCTGCAAATGAATTGGTGCATGAGGTATAAATGACTTGATTTGAAGAGAACTTTGCTAAAGTCTTGTAAGAATGTAAGTTAAAGGAAGACTTGTTCAAAGTTTCTTTAATGAGTAATTAAATTGTTTGGCATTCAGCATAAAATAATAAAATAGGGTGCATTCCATGGGGTTCACACAGTGCATGGGCAGATGATTAACCCATTGAGTGGCAGCGCTCTCCAGTAAAGGGCATATCAGGGTTTATTTCATTGATTTTGTTGAAACACTGTAAATTAATTAACATGTGCTGGAAAGTAACATGATTTTCTTTGTTGTAAAGAGAGTGGGTGCATGATAAAGACGGGGTTAATTTCTCCCACTCCCTTAATAAATTTGAGTATATTATAACAGAATTAAGAGTATAATTATAACAGAATAAATTATGCAACTGTGACATACTCACATTACTGATCTCATACAGGGGTCGGTTGTTCAAAGATGGGTTAGCGCTAACCCTGGGTTAGCGCTAACCCAGTGGGTTAAAACTTCAGAGAAGTAAACTCCTATCGATCCAGACAAGATCTCTGAAGAAATATTTCCAAATTTATAGACAAGCTGTCAGGAAGTTTGCTTTGAATTTTAGGTTAACCTAGGGTTAAGCTAACCCAGCTTTGAACAACCAACCCCAGAAATGTAATTAATGTACATGATTTTGTTCATATATCCTCAAACATAAGCCTTACACTAACCTGACATCTTCAATAGAATCAAGCCTGACTCCAGGTATAAAAATATGAATCAAACCTCCTGCAGTGTGAAAGCCCTTTGCAAGTTTTCCTCTATAACCAACACTCGTATAATGAGCATAATCTGAATCCAGAAAGGGATGAAGTTGGTGAAGTATTAAACCTGAAAAGGAAAACATATTTTTAAATTAGACAGCACTACCTTATAAATGATTGCCATCTTTAATTGCCTCATTCATGTAATGCACATACTGAACACAACTTGTATATAGAAGCCTGGGTACAATCCAGCCTGGACAACCAGAACTTTAGTCCCATTTTATATTTTCTATACACTTACTATTAAATTTTCTAAACCCCTGTAAAACATGTAAGGTGGGGGAACATGATGGAATCTTTATAGGGAACAAGGGGGGGTTTCCAAAGAAAAATGGGAACACAGACCCCTCCCCCCCCCTGGGAGAACCTACAATCAACCCTCGAAATTCAACTATTTTTGCCTCGGCAAATAATTGCCGAAGCCTTTCGATAATTTTCGAGTTTGCCTCGGCAGTGCTTCGGCAATTTTTTTTTGCCGAGGCACGCAATGAAATCATCTTAAATTCCTTCGGCAATTACTTCGGCACCCTTCGGCATTCACGTCGGCAGTTGTAATTAAAGTAAAGTACATACAGAAATTATTGTAAACAAATATGATAACGAGCGTAGATTCTGAGACTTCTGACGTTCGACAATTTGTTCTTATTTTACAAATTCCTTATTCAAAATGTTTTTAAAAAATTAGTGGTAATTTACAACCAATTGTATGAAAGAATAAACTTGATGGTAAAATCACGCGACAGTCTAAAAGATAAAACAAAGTTTCTCGACGTACCGTCTTTAAACCATCAAGATTGTTCTTTATTTCAACCGAAGCCGACGCTGCATTAAAAGCTCAAATTTAAATATTTTGTAAAGTAGCTATGAATGAAATCTTCTGTTGTTCACCCAACGTCGATGACAACAGTTCAAACAAAGAAGTGATACAAAAAACGAACACTGTAGTTTGTATATTTAAGAAGAAAAAAACGAACAGACACTGTAGTTTGTAATTCAAGGAACAGCGGGTGGAATTGCCTCGGCATTTTTTTGCCGAGGCAAACTATGAAAAATCGTAACTTGCCTCGGCATTTGCGTCGGCAATTGCCGAGTGCCGAGGCGAATTTCGAGGGTTGACAATAAAACCTCACCAGCTTTTGCTGCATTATTAACAATCTGCCAAGAATTCCCATGACTTCTCTGTGGTTCATCCACTGGGGTACCACCCTGACCTTTACACAATGTCACACATATATCACCGTCATATGACTCGATATGCTCTATAGCACTTATAAAGAAATCTTCTAACAACTTTCTACACTTCTTAATATTTGATTTGCCACCAGTATGTGGGAAATTAAATATTATTCTATCAAATTTGCGAGTTGGAAAATATTCTGAAAGCTTAGTTGCGTCGATATTATGCAAGATTTCTACATTTTCATATGCTTGCAAACGTTCAAGGTTAACACGTGTAAACTCGTCTTGTGTTAGAATGTCTTTGCTATCGAAAGATGTCAACGCAAGATGTGTGTTCAGTCCAAGTTCATCACGAAATACTGCAAGAGAAAGCGAGAAAGAAAAATTTCCATCACCAACAACCAAGACAGTTTGCTTAGAAAGCGATGAACGTAGAAAGTTATACGAATCCGCTCCTGTTGTAGCGGCCATATTTATTTATTTTTTCTAGTTCTCTCCCCCCGCCTATAGGCTTTACTGCACTTACGAAACCACAGATTCTTTGAAATTCCGGGTGGGTAGGTTTTAACCCTATTCTGTGATTTTGCAATTTGAATTTGCATTTTGCATGAACATTGAAAATGTAATCAATATATTCTTTGGAAGGTATGTTTTGTAGTATAAGATTTAAAGCATTTATATGGAGAAATCAAAGGAATATTTTAAATATTTTTCGTAATAGTTCAAAGCTGTTTAGCTGTGCAGTGTTTTGCAGAGCATCAAGTATGGAAAAAGAGAAAGTTTTGGAAGCAATAAAGCAAGCTATTCCACCATTGGTCGAGTCAAAGTACAAAGGACAGGCAGGGCGTATAGGAGTTGTTGGAGGGTCAAAAGAGTAAGCTATGGACTTTATGTTGAGCGGAACTACTATGAACTGTGATAGGGGACTAGGAAAGGGAGGATAGAAGCTTACCCACTGGCACTACCACTACATGACATCTTTATTATTTCCTTTATGCACCACCCATTGAACTATAAATAAACTGGAAGGCTAACTCAGGGGGGGGGGAATTGAAGCCAGTGCATTTTAGTTTTTCTGAGTTATGAGCAGAAATACTCAACACTGAACGTTGGGCTATATATCAAATTGAAGCTATTGAAAAACGCTATTTGGTGTAGAAATTTCAAGACTTTAGCTAAAAGGGAAATATTGAAAAACTACAAACATAATTACCGATAATTTGCCGTTTTGCAGTTGTTTTTGTATTTTTTAAATATTTTTCTTTTCGCTGAAGTCTTGAAATTTCCACACCTAATAGCAATTTTCAATAGCTTCAATTTGATATATAGCCCAACGTTTGGGGTCAAGTATTTCTGCTCATAACTCAGGAAAACTATTTTGGCTTCATCAAATCATAGGCCTTCCTCATAGCAGTTAGCCTTCCAGTTTAGTTATAGTCCAATGGGCATGATTGGCTGGCTGTTTGCTAGCCTGCATGGCAGGCGGTATTTCTACGGGCAGCGAAAATTAGGGAAGCAAAGGAAATACCGTCTGCCGCAAAACTAGGGGTTTTTGAATTACTCGTCCGCTGGTGAACGGGAAAAACGGATTGGTTAGTATTTTTATGTAGTTGTCAATCATCGGCTAAATTCGGTTAAATGTTAATCATTAACCAAATGTTTTGACGTTTTGAAATTAGTTCACGTCAAGTCAGACCAGAAATTACCCTGGATTCCAGAGCCTTCGACAGTAAATAATAAATTGAAATGTCGCGAAGGCTCTGGTTCAACGGGGCGATTCTTTGATTAAGCCGCGCCAATCACAAAACAGAATTAGTGGTTTTAGTACAGATTCTGTACTAAAACCACTAATTCTGTTTTGTGATTGGCGCGGCTTAATCAAAGAATCGCCCCGTTGAACCAGAGCCTTCGCGACATTTCAATTTATTATTTACTGTCGACGGCTCTGGAATCCAGGGTAACCAGAAATGGAATACCATAATAAAAGAAGCAAATTTAAAGATACAAGCTGAAAAATAACACTCTAAGTAGTGTTTTTGATAGCGATTCGTACAAGAATATTTAACAAAGAAGATACGTCCGAAGGGGCCGAAGTTATGATCGGCGAAAGGTATGGGCTAGTCTATATTTTCGTTCAGACAATTACATGCGTATTTAATAATTTCAGTGATAATATACGATCTCGCTTGACTTTCAAAGGACATAAATCACAATAATGTTGACATTTTACTAAAACTATCGATAGAAATTAGGAGATATTTCTTCACTGAATCGAACGGTGGGATTTTCATATAGCCATAGGCCCGTCATGTTCTGAACCAAAGATACTTGATAGATATACGAACCTCCAAAGTATGAACTAGGGGCCGGTTGATGCAGTATTAATTATCAAATAACAGTTAAACTCTTATATACCCGTTGAATATGTATAGTTGTAAACAAATAAAAACTATCGTTCTATAAGGTTCAAAACTTTCAGTTTGGTTGTTGACTGATGATGAATCTATAGCATAGACTTGCATGCTTTGTATTTTGAGCTTATTAAACCACCGTTTTAAGGCAGCTAAACGGGCTTGGTTTATATTAACGCATAAAATAAATTCCTTGATTCTCATCACTAGATGTAAGAGAATTTAGGTTCAAAAGGCTCCAAATCGTTTATAATACTTATTTTATTAACATATATACAACAAATTCATGAGGAATATTTACGAAAACTATCATAATGGCGGCTGTTCAATTCATAACAACGTGTTTCTCGCAACGCGTGGCTTCTCGCGTGTTCTCGCGCGCGCTACACTTAGATTACGGTGAAAACATACAAAAATACGTCACACTCCCCCCGGTGACCTGTACTAAACATACAAGTTCTGGTCAACATTAAACTATAAACAAAATGTCAAGGTTAACTTAATTAACTTGTACATCATTAAAGTTATTAAATGTACTCATCTCTTATCCATTGCTTCCTGATCATATCTGCCATTACTGCAGCTCTTCTTCGCGGTGTAGTCTCCTGTTGATCCTGAACCAACTGTTCTATATTGGCTTGCGTCTCGGGTACATTCGCTGAGATTGATTTGTCTTCGTCTTGCGATCTTACTTCCAATGAATATAGTTTATTGATAGGTCTCTTCAACTGGTTTGCTTTTCTTCCTTCTCCATTAACCTTTACAATTGCAGATCTAACTTTGTGGTCATCACCTTTAATCAGTTTCTCAACCTTTCCCAATTTCCACGATCCTCGACGCTGATTATCTTGATGTACTAAAACCATTTCTCCTACGCTTATTTCTTGAGACAACGAATTCTGGGAAGTGTTACGATGAGATTCTCGTAGCTCTAACAGATATTCCTTCGACCATCTGTTCCAAAATTTGTCAATCAACTTCTGTAAATAAACAACACGTTTAGTAAATTCTTCCGATTTAGGGTTCCAGTCAGGATCTACATGTATTAGCTCAGATGTATCGCCAGATGGCACAGATAAAATTCGTCTTCCACAAAGTAGGTGTGATGGCGTTAAAGGTTCCTCGAGATCTTCGGTAGAAACATAAGTTAACGGTCTTGAATTTAAGACACACTCAATCTCTGTAAATATAGTTAGTAGTTCATCATAGGTGACACATGCCTTCCCGAGTATTTTCTTCAGACACCGCTTTACTGACTTAACTAATCGTTCGAAGAATCCTCCTTGCCAAGGGGCCTTAGGAGTATTGAATGACCACTCAATCCGTTTGATATCCATATGATGTCTAACTTCGGGAAGTTGAAATAAAGCCTTTAATCTTCGGGACGCAGTTACAAACGTCTTGGCGTTATCAGAAATCATTCTCTTGGGAAGTCCTCTCCTCGCACAGAATCGTCGAAAACACAATAGGAAAGATTCACTAGTCATGTCCGAAACGAGTTCCAAATGGAGAGCTCTCGTGACAGCGCATGTATAAAGGGCGATCCAGGTCTTTGTTTGTGTCTTGCTCTTCTTTGATTCTTTGACATACAGCGGCCCAGCAAAGTCAACTCCAGTCGAGGCAAAGGGTGCTTGTCGTTGTGTTCGAAATTCTGGCAAAGCTGGGGAGGCAGGTAGGGAATAGGGTTTACCCTCGTGTTTCTTGCAAACCACGCACCTGTGAATTAACTTCCTTACAAATTGTCTGCCACGAATTATCCAAAACCTCGAGCGTAGTTCTGTAAGTGTCTCTTTAACACCGTTGTGAAACACGCGATTGTGGGATTCCTTAACAATTAACTCGGTTAATCTATTCTTTGCGTTCAATAGAATTGGATGTTTGGTTTCGTCAGGAATGTTCGCTTTCGAAATTCGTCCCTTGCACTTGATGATTCCATTCTTATCCCAGAATAATCCAAACTGTTTTTTTCCACGTTTCAAACGAAGGATGATTTGGAAGATCTAACTGGATTTGTTTAAACCATAAAATTTCTGCGATTTCAGCTTCAGAGTTCTTATTCTCTTCGGCTCTTAAATGGGCTTTCTTCACTCGTCGAATAAATCGTAAAACCATTGATGTAATGGTAATAAGTTTCTGGTAACTGCTAAACTTTCGTACGTCAATAATGCTCTGGATCTGGTAACTTGTTTCGGTGCATACGAGTAAACAAGTGTTCTGAAATGCCTTTCGATCGTTGGCTTTCATTTCTGTAATACATTCTTAGGGACATTCTTCATTATTCTTCCCCTCAACTCCCTCGCTTTCGATATCCTTGAGCATCCATTGAGGACCATTTAACCAGGTTTGAAGTGCGCCTGAATCAGTGGAGGTTGCTCCTCTAGAAGCAATATCCGCAGGATTTACTTTGCCGGGGCAATGTCTCCAGCATTTCAATGGTACCAATTTTCTTATCTCAACGACACGATTTTGAACGAACTGCTTCCATTCTTGGGTTTCACCAAGGATCCAGTACAGTGCTACCTTAGAATCAGTCCAACAGGTTGGATCATCAAGCTTTAGGGTTTCGTTCAGAGCACTTGTAACGGTTGAAATAAGTCTTGCTAGTATGACTGCTGAAAGAAGTTCTAATCTTGGAATGGTTTGTTTGTTAATTGGAGAGACTCTTGTTTTGGCAATAACAAATCTTATAAACGTTCCCAATGAGGTAGTCATTTTCAGATAAACAACAGCTCCATAGGCTTTAAGGGATGCGTCGCAAAATCCTTGGAGGCTGTAAGAAAGAAACTTTTCTTCGATTCCCGCTTGATAACATCTCGGTATCAGGGTCGATTCTATATTTTCCAGGTCTAGGATAAGATGCTCCCACTTCTTCTTTAGTTCGCTTGATAATTCTTCGTCCCATTCAACTTTAGATTGGCATAGCTCCTGAAAAAACATCTTTAATTTGACTGTTATGGGTGCGAGAACTCCCAACGGGTCATAGAAACGGGATATGATACCAATGGCATTTCGCTTCGTAGGCTCAAGTTCTCGAGCTGCTTGCACAATTCGATGAAAATTGAAGATGAATATGTCATTTACATAGTTCCACCGAATTCCCAGGATCTTCTCTTCCCTTTCCAACGGTAATTCTTGGGGATTACCCACTGTTGACTTGCAATATGACTTATCCTCTGTACAGACATCGTTGACCACATCTGTCGTTGACTGACCGATGGTAGGAGTTTCTTCATTTTGCCGTATTCTTTGCATTAGGGTAGGAGAATTAGATAGAAACTTGCGAAGATTGAATCCGCCTTCACTTAGTCGTTGTTTTGATTTAATATACAGTTCATAGGCTGCGTTGTCATCCTTGGCTCCAGAACTTAAATCATCCACGTAAATGCCACTCAGAAACTTCTGTACAAACTCCGGGTCTTCTTCCTGATATTTCTCAATGTGATGTTTGATTGTCCCATTCAACAAAAATGGACTGGCCGTCACCCCGAATACTACACGCGTAAATCGATATATCATAATCTTAGGGTCATCCTTAGTAATATCGTCAACCCAGAGAAATCGCAAGACGTCTCGATCTTCCTTTGCAATGGCAATCATCAAAAACGCTTTTTCAATGTCTCCGACCAATGCTGTTGGATGACACCTGAATCTCAGCAAAATGTCTACGATATTCTCAGCAAGTGATGGGCCAGAGTATAGGCAATCATTAAGAGACAGGCCCTCGGGGAGGCATCGTAGACTATCCGCAATTTTGTTGTTTTCTTGTCGCGACGGATGATGGCATGGTGTGGTAAGTAATGGACACGACTTGCATTGGTGGATGTTTCATCAACTCTTTCTATGATTCCTCTAGCTATCTGCTCCTGAATAATGTTATCGTATTCCTTCAGGGTTTTAGGATCTTGTTGGAGTCTCCTCATGCAGGAGGGATTCTAGTCTCCTTAGACTAAGCTGGTAGTTATATGGTATGGTGACTTGGTTATCTTTCCATGGTAGGTGAACTTTATATCGACCATCTCGGTGCGGTTTCACAGTACTTAGAAACTCTTCATAAACAGAATGTAATTCATCAGGACTGATACCAAGTGATTCCAATTCCCCAAAACGTTTCAGGTTAGTTTCGATTGTTGCTTCTGGGGAAGGAGTGAGTTGGGTAGAACATCGTAACACATGGGTAGATGCCATGTTGACATTGGAATGAGAATCGGGTGATGCCCCTTTCACTGGACCAGACAAAACCCAGCCGAGCTTGGTATGCATTGCTGTAGGACCATCGTTTCCATGGATTACATGACCGGTGACCAACTGCCAATAATAATCGCTTCCAATCAGTATATCCAAATCGAATTGTTCTCCATCGTTTGCTGAGTCAGCAAGTTTTAGACCAGAAAGATGTTCATAGGATTGTTGGGCAAATCTTGTATTTTGGTTTCCGATTGTGGAGCATATCAATGGAACAACATAAGCCGATAGGTTTAACTTATGTCCTCTCTCAGTGTCCAACTGAAATTGAACCATATCACAGGAGGTAATATCTTCATCCTTAGAACCAAAGGCATTAATCTTGAGGGTATCTCGTCTTACTATAGAGAGATTCAGCTTGTCTCTCATTGTGGGAGTTATGTATGATCTTTGGCTTCCACTGTCAAATATAAGTCTTGCCTGCAACGTCTTACTAGGATCCTTTGGGTTGTAAATGGGGGCTCTTGCGGTTTGTAAAAGAATCGAGGACTGTGCATCAACAAACATATTGACATGGGTGTTCTGAGGTTGTTCTCTACTTTGGTTCGTGGGTTGGTGACCTTGGGGTTGCATGCGTGTGTGTTCTTCAGAGGGGGTTGGTTGGTGGAATGCTTCTTGTTCTGGTGGGGTAGGTTTCACCTTAGAATTGGATGGATAGATACTAATGTGATGACGCTTATCACATTTACAACATTTTATCTTAGATTTGCACTCTCTGGCAACATGATTCTTTCTAAGGCATATATAACATCTTCCAGACCGTTTCAGAATTTCCTTTCTCTCATTTTTGTCAGTCACGGTACTACAGCTATTTGAAGGGTGGGGTTGTTGACAGTAGGTGCATGTTGGACTTCCTCCAGTAGTAAACAAAGATGATGCAGATGGGATCTTAGGTTTATACAGTGGCTTCGATGGGGGATCCCTTGAACTGCCGGGTAAGAGACTTGCCCTCTCTCGAGCCTCCAGTTCCCCTTTAAAGTATTTGATGAGTTCATCTAGATCCCAATCTTCTTTGAGCTGCTTTGTAGCTTCTAAACGTAGCTCTTTAGGCAACTTATCAATTAAAATAGGTGTTAACAGACTACCATATGAACCAGAGTCAACTTCAAGAGATTTTAATCCCCTCATATGGCTCTCTACTTTATCATGTAATTGCCTGAGAGCCTTTAAGTCATCTACATTAGTCACCTTGGGCAGGTTTAATAAAGCATTCATGTGGGCATTGACAATTTGTTGCTGATTACCAAATCTTTTGTCTAAGATATCTATTGCCTCTTGGTAGTCTGCTGAAGTTCTTTTTAAACCTGATATTGCTTCAGCAGCAGATTTTTCCAACAGACTATGCAAATAATTGAATTTATCTATATTGGATAAATTAGGATTTTCATGAATGGAAGAAGAATATGAATCCCAAAATTGAGTCCACTCCATTATGTTCCCATTAAAATGTTTTAGTTCTAATTTCGTAATCTTACCGTACTTTAGATGTGGGTGGTACTGTTGCTTGCGACAGAGAACTTTCGAGATTTGATGGTGAAGATCCACTGTCTTTATTCCATTCTTTCTTCAGTTTTTCCAAAATTAAATCAATGTGAATAATTGCCCTTTGAATAGCTTGACGTATGTCATCAGCACTGGCAACCTCATCCTCAATATTTCCGTCCTCAACCAAAAGAATAATCTTGTCGTCAAAACTCTTTAGAAGTGCTAATTTCTCGCCCAAAATCACACGTTGTTGGGTAAGTTTTATTTCAAAGTCACTTGCCTGTGTTTCTTCAAATATTTCCGTAGATTGCGCTAAGAGTTCCTCTGTTACAGCTAATGTTTTCGTAAGACTGGCTCGAAGACCTCCGCGTATTTTTACTAATTTCTTCAATTCCTCAGCCATTATTCGTTGTATATCCGACTCCGAAGGACCATGTAAGAGAATTTACAGTAGGTTCAAAAGGCTCCAAATCGTTTGGAATACTTATTTTATTAACATATATACAACAAATTCACGAGGAATATATACGAAAACTATCGTAATGGCGGCTGTTCAATTCATAACAACGTGTTTCTCGCAACGCCTGGCTTCTCGCGTGTTCTCGCGCGCGCTACACTTAGATTAAGGTGAAAACATACAAAAATACGTCACACAACGACTTTGACATACTTTAACCATGCTTTACCCTACTTAGACCGACTTATGCCGGATTACAACTGCTTTGGCATGCTTTGAACTTCCTTTACCCCACTTAACCCACCTTACAACGACTTTGACATACTTTAGGCAGCCTTTACCCGACTTAGGCCAATTTAGGCCGGATTACAACTGCTTTGGCATGCTTTTGACGTCCTTCACCCAACTTAACCCACCTTGCAATGACTTTGACATACTTTAACCATGCTTTACCCTACTTAAACCAACTTATGTCGGATTACAACTGCGTTGGCATGCTTTGAACTTCCTTTACCCCACTTAACCCACCTTACAATGACTTAGATATACTTTAACCATGCTTTAACCATGCTTTAGCCTACTTAGACCGACTAATGCCGGATTACAACTGCGTTGGCATGCTTTGTACTTCCTTTTCCCCACTTAACCCACCTTACAATGACTTTGACATACTTTAACCATGCTTTACCCTACTTAGATCGACTTATGCCAGATTACAACTGCTTTGGCATGCTTTGAACTCCCTTTACCCCACTTAACCCACCTTACAACGACTTTGACATACATTAGGCAGCCTTTACCCGACTTAGGCCAACTTAGGCTGGATAACGACTGCTTTGGCATGCTTTGAACTTCCTTAACCCCACTTAACCCACCTTACAATGACTTTGATATACTTTAACCATACTTTACCAGAGTTAGACCAACTTAGGCCAGATTACAACTGCTTTTTCATGCTGTTCAACTCACTTTACCCTACTTAACCCACCTTCCAACGACTTTGACTAACTTTAGGCAGCCTTTACCCGACTTAGGCCAACTTAGGCCGGATTACATCTGCTTTGGCATGCTGTTCAACTCCATTAACCCGACTTAACCCACCTTACAACGACTTTGGCATACTTTAGCCATGCTTTACCCGACTTAGGCCCACTTAGGCAGGATTACAACTGCTTTGGCATGCTGTTCAACTCACTTTACCCGACTTACCCACCTTACAACGACTTTGACTTACTTTAACCATGCGTTACCGGACTTAGGCCAAAGGATATATAACGATGCTTTTTTCTCCTTTATCCATGACCCTGATTTTGAAATAAAATACGAATTTGGAGTAATGCGTTGCAAGGGCGTAAGAACCGGGGCGAGCAAGGGCCAAGTCCCCCCCAAGTTTTCAGAAGACACAAAAAGTGCCCTCGTTTTGGTGGCAAAGTGCCCCTTGCCTTCGTGAAAAATGTTCACAAAATGTTCAGAAAATATTCTGCAATTCTTGAGAAAAGTGCCCTTCAATAAATTAATGTCCATGAAATAAATCAATTCAACTTTTGGTTAAAATTAGCGCACTGAATATGATCCAAAAACTTGCATTAGATCTAGAAGATCATATAAGATGAATCTAGTCCTGCTAATGCCCTTAAATGAAGTATGCGCCCTTGTTATCTCGTTATTGATCAATTAGCCTTTCTCACGGTCGTTTTTTCTGCTATTTTTTTGGGTACTGCCTTACCCACGTTTGAGAGTCTCCTCACCACGAAGACTATCAAAAGTTAAATAAAATAAACAACTTTTTGGTATTGTAGTTGTTTGTATAATGGTAAATTTACAGCTACAACTTTTAAAAGTCGCTTTTCGCGCGTTGTTTGAATTGTCTAGAATCTTTTACGAGGGCAGACATGTACAGTACCCCCAAAATGGCGGATTTTGGTCTTCGTGAGAAAGGCTAATTGCTCTAAAAGTGGAAAGCCATCTTGATTTGAATTTCAAATTTTATGGATTTAAGGATATTATCTTTTGCATAAGTAATCATTCACTATTTATTCTAGAATTAAAACTTTATTGAATTGTGAAAAATAAGAGTAATGAAACGGTCTGAGTCCATGTATAATCTAAATCGATTATTATACTTCTAAAAATTATATGTATTGGTTGCAGTGGCGGCGGAACAGTTTTTATTTTGAGGGGGCTAATTTCAAAAAGTGTTGCAATATATAACATTTTTTCCCCAGAAATATTGGCGAAGGGGGTACTTAAAAAATGTTCCCAACCTAACACATTTTCTTTGTGATATTTTTACAATAACTACCGGTTTTTATTAGTTTTTTTTTAAAGGTGTCGAATTTCGAAGCACAAACTTCAAAACTTTGGATCTGTTCGACTCTTCTGTTTTCCAAATGTTTAGGGGCATTTTGCCGTTGTCTGTTCAGTTATATAAAGACAGTGAGACGTCATAATGTGGTAAGAACATGATGTCTGAACATCAGTGACCCCTCGCCTATATACGAGGCTCATGCACGGGCCAATTTTTTTGAGAGTTCTTGCCAGGATGGGACTCGAGCCAGGACTCGACTCAGGACTCGAGCCAGGACTCGACTCAGGACTCGAGCCAAAAATGACGTCAGGTGATTTTGATGGATGAAAATTTACCACCAACGTTCTCACTTTTAAGGAACTTTCCTTAGATTTAGACTCTTCGTTCACCAACAATGCGAAATGTTTAAGGAAATTTAACTGAATCAGTGAGAAATTGTTTATCGATAACCTAAGGAATGTTTACCAACTTGTTTACCAAATCAATTTCCCGCCTTTTTCCACAACAGTCGATAAAAGAACTAAAGAACGATAGTTTATATTTGGTATATTTGTACATACAAAGCTGTGAATCTCATCTGACTTTGGCTAACTGTAACGGTTATTATTTCATAATTGAGTCGGTTTTCTTTGAAGTTCCGCGGGCTGTATTTAAAATAAATATCGGTCATTAGGCCAACCGTCTAAAAGCAGGGGGAGGGTTTTGATATTCAGCAGGGAAGAGCGGGGCTGATGAATTGAATTGAATATAGATAATTATGAATAAGTGGCGGGCTGTATTCAGATACAGCCCGGAAATATTGGGCTGTATCTGAATACAGCCCGCTGTTCTAGTATTGTACCTGGATACACAGGCCATGAATAGTTATAATCCATTGAACTTACACTACAACCACTTCTATTAACATTTTTAATACTATTTCACACAAACGTATTGAAAATATATTTCAAACTTCAAGTTACTTGCGATAGATGAACCAGGCGGAAATCGTAATCTTATGATAAATATTAATGCCCAGCATAAAACACGTAAAAGAGCCATAACAAAAATATAATTTAAAATATTTATTTGAAAGCTAACGTTTCGTCTTTAACTTAAGACATCTTCAGAGCAATGACATACAAAGCGGAAAACACGGAAATATGAATAAATTACAACTATTTACAAGATATTATATTACAAAAGTAGAAAGAGGAATGGATCAGAGTAGAAGTAGAGGGACCGAGCTGCCCTGTAAGTTGAGAGAGGGTTTGAGTTTGTTAATGAGAAGACTTTCTCGAATGAGGAGTTCGTCTGGAGAAGAGCAACAAGAAATAATCTTAAAATCATTAAGAGAGGCGGAGTGACCAGTGTTATCAAGATGGGAAAGGATACTAGACATGGTCGGATTGCTGCTTTTACTGCCTGTTAGAGGAGAAACACCCAAATGTTCAGAAACTCGTGTGTGCAAGTGACGGACCGTTTGGCCCAAATACGTTTGGCCCAAATACTCTTTTACGTGTTTTATGCTGGGCATTAATATTTATCCTAAAACTTCAAGTTGTTAAATACAACACTCATTTCTTCTACAATATATTCTATTTACTTCTTCTGTCTACATTTTAAACTTCTTGTTAATAAAAAAGTGTAATTATTGAAATTCACACACTTTTCAACATTTTCACTCTTTACTCCGCTATCACCTTGCCTCTTGTTAACTTCGCTTCCTAATTCCTGTTCAGCTTTTTTACGGACTTCCCGACACTCGCAATTAATTGTACTGGTTAATTGTCGCCAAAGACGTGTGCATCATATCAACGTTGATCATGCAAACGCTTTTGACATTTCTACTTTGTACTCTATGCTAGGACCTAGGTCTCTGATACTGCTGTAACGACCTTAGGTCTCTATGAGCTGTGTTTTTTTCATAATTAACTTATCTGGAATTCCCTTTACGAGGCCACGAGTTGCCATTGTTGCTCTAAGACTGTGATTTGTAAAGTTGCCTTCTATTCCAGCATCCCGACAAAGCTTCTTAACTACCCCTCCAAGTGTGTTGTAGCCCACTGGATTTGAAGTGAACCAAACTAAAACACAGAAAATTCAGCTGAAACTAAAAATGGAAATTAACTACAAGAAATGATAAAACTAACTAAATAAATTATTTGTACCTTTATCTGAATCAGAATTAATACTTTCGGCGAGGACTCAAAATAAATATGTCTTTCGTTATGGCTTCTGAGCTGCATTTCCCCACATACTTCTTGTACAATCGAACCAAACATCGACTGGGACACTCTTCATTTATATAATGTTACACGCTTTCGACTCGCTGTTACCAAAATAAAAATCAAGATTTTCAGTCTCTAAAATACTTGGAATCATACTTAATTCGTCACCCAAAATAACAGGATTCGCGAAAAATGTATTTTGCGTTAATCCTGACAGTGAAAAGTCTTCCTCGTCACTATCCATTTTGTGAAGTACGAATGCAAATAATCAGTCCCCAAAGTGAGGCCAGAAAATTTTACAAAAACATGTGGAAGAACAAAATAAGAATAAATTAACTAGCGTATAACTTAGCTCCTTTGGGATCTTCATCTCTTTTTGTATACCTATATATCTGTTCGCTAATTTAGCACTATGGCATTGGCTCTGGGGAAATTGACAACCGGAACCCCTAAATTTAGGGGTTCCGGTTCTTTGTCGGCATGCACGATTGATAAACGTTAAACCAATCACAGCACAGGAAAAATTCAATTTCCCCAGAACCAATGTCATCCTAGCCCGCGCACAGGCATTGCTCTGGGTACGAGATCGGTGCAATTATCGAAAGGGTGTATTTGGTAATACAGTTAGCCAGCGTGGCCGGCTCTTCTATAATACAGTTTGATGATATTGGCGTCTATTACAGGAAAATAAGGCAGGGAGAATTATCCTACTCTTTGACGAATGCTAAGCGGCAATGAGCGGCAACAAGTATCTGTTTTGTAAAGAGCGAGAGACTGCTAGTGATGGGCAATACCAACTGTTTTAGTTGATAAAATACTGGTCCCTTTTTTGGATATCGATATTTGTGCAATATATCAAAGACAAACAACAACAATGGTATTGACTATTGTTTCACTCACTGTCTTCCGACGCTAATAACCGTTACAGTTAGGGGCCGATTACATGGAGCATTTTCAACCTCGGGGTTGAACTCAGCCCTATTTACCGGGTTGAAATTTCAGCCCTGTCTGTAATACAAGCTCTATCAAAATCAAACGCGCGATTACATGACAAAATTTTCAACCCAGGGCTCAACCCCGGGGTTGAAATTTCAACCCTGCTTCAGCTAGCAGGGTTGAAATTTCAACCTCAGGGTTGAACTCAGCCCTGGGTTGAAAATTTTGTCATGTAATCGTTTCAACCCAGGGCTGAAATTATCATGAGTTATTCGAGCATGTGTGGTAGTGACCATTTATTACAAGAAAACAAAATAAAGGCTTTTTTACTTCCGCGAATCGATGCCGAGAACGTATAGTATAACGTTTTAACCCCGGGGTTGAAATCGTTCATGTAATCGCAAAAAATTTCAACCCGGTTAACAGGGCTGAGTTTAACCCCGGGGTTGAAAATGCTCCATGTAATCGGCCCCTAAATAGCCAAAGTCAGATGAGATTGACAGCTCTGTATGTACAAATATACCAAATATAGACTATCGTTCTTTAGTTCTTTTATCGACTCTGGTGGAAAAAGGCGGGAAATTGATTTGGTAAACAAGACTTTTCTCACTTCCCATTTGCGAAACATCACTTAGGTTATCGATAAACAATTCCTCAGATTCAGTTAAATTTCCTTAAACATTTCGCATTGTTGGTGAACGAATAGTCTAAATTTAAGGAAAGTTCCTTAAAATGAGAACGCTGTTGGTAAATTTTCATCCATCAAAATCACCTGACGTCATTTTTGGCTCGAGTCCTGTACTGTGTGTGTTAATAGTTTGAGTCGCAAATTGAGGGTTGAGAATCGTGTTGGGTAATTTTAACTTATATCATTGTAAACTACGACGTGCACTAAACAAGTGTAAATATATCTGTACTTAATAAATATATTCAAAAATACAGTCCCAGGTGTGAAGTGTCTTGAATCGTGAGCCAGCAACTAGCGTGACTTAAAGTTACGCGACAGCCAGTGCAAATCCAATTTCGAAACTACACTGCAAACATCCCGAGTATTTTGACTTAGTTAAAACTTGAGTAATTAAATTCGTCACCCACGGTGACTCCAGCTATTCGAGTTAGTATACAAAAATATGAAAGTGATCATTTTATGTCCAAAATTACAAACAGTACAAGGACTATCGTCATGAAATAATTACAGGAAACCAAAACTATCATAGAAATAATAGATATAGAATGCGTACTCCTATCTTTTCTCAGTGAAAAATTTGTCTCCACAAAATGGCGGATTTATAAGGGCATTTTGGTTCCCAGACTCCCAGGCGGCAGGGAATTTCAGTGGGAATTTCGCGCGGTTGCAGAGAGTGCAAAATGTTTTTTCAAATGCAAAGTTTGCAAAAAATTTTATATCGAGACTTAAAATGGAAAAAAAGTGAAAAAAGTGTCTAAAAACCCATTCTAGTGGGCTTTTTTACGAAAAGCAACGGTTCTGAACAGAATATATACAGAAATCATCGTTTAAAAATAAATTTTCAACGTTGTTGTGAAAGCCAAAACAAAACCCGAAAGATCAAGACAAACTCAAACTCAATAGGTATGTTCTATAAATATTTCAACTTTTTTATAATATAATATAATATAAATGAAGTTCAGTAATCTTTTTAAACTTACACAATTACTTTTCATATTTTTCTGTGTTGCTTGAGCTTGAGGCAACGCTTTTGAAACCATAGTTTTCGACGATTATTTAGACAATTTACAGTCTATCGACAACTAAATATTTTTGTTTCAAAAAAATAAAAAACCTTCGTTTACATCAAAGAAAAACGAAACCCGACGAAGAAAGAACTATCATTTTGTAATCTTATAAGATATTAGCAAAACAGTGACAGTAGTGACGTTCAAAGCATGCAAAAATATTTTATGAGTAAATTTCGAGAAACCGGCGAAAATACTTTGTTTACAAGGCTGCACGATTTTCACCGTTTTTGTAACTGCACATTTGCTTTGACAGTTTGTGCCTTCAAAAAACTCAAAATCTATCCCCAAACTACAAATTAGACAACAAGATAAACGTTTTGACGATGAAAACGTAGTTTTAGCTTTTTGTTTATACTTTGTAGTTTGCACTCCTAGTCAAATTCAAACATGGCGGATTTATAAGGGCACGCATGAGAAAAAGTGGAGACATGATTCGTGATCAAGTATCTATTATTTCTATGGTCTTAGCGGGTCATTCATTTTTTTACGATTTTGAAATATGAGAATCAGTTTATTTTTTACAAAAACAAGTTATTTTTTCCATTTTTAATCTATCCGAATTCTAAGGTCATTTCATTCAATTATCAGAAACTAGCTATATTTAGCGGGAAAATTTGGCGGGTAAATTTACAGTTCACTTTACAGTTTGGTTTACGAGTAATAGGAACAAGGGCCGAGGGCTTATAGACGGAGGTTTACGGTACAAGTTTTCAAAACTACACTAACTAGACAACAGTTTGCAAAAAAATAGTGCATCGACAAATATAAAAACTATCAGGGCTGAAAGTTTAAAAGCCAGCTTTTCCCTTTTAATAATCACCAAACTGATCAAAGAATGCATGAAACAGCACGATCAGCACGAACTAAGAAGGCAAAATTTTTCATGTGGCTCGCCATATATGGTCACGAGTTCCATATACGGATAAAATGAGTCCGCAAATGGTGTTGAAAACAAATTCCAGCGAAAAAGGTGTTGAGCACAATTTTTTGTTGAATTTTCACTATCCAGCGAAAATCACCCATATCTGAGATTAGGATGCTCCCAGCTCGCTCGCTTGTCGCAACTAGAACATCATAGTTTCATCTCTTCATATACATGTTACATGTACTGTGCAACTCGATATTGAGGGATGGAATTATTGCATAAAGTTACAGTAAATACAAAAAGGTTAATCCACAATAAAAAATAATAATAAAGGTGTATCAGTCTAAAAGCTACAATCTTGGACATAACCCTTGAGAAAACAAATTTCGTCACCCCCTTCCCCCAGTTCAAACAGCACCAAAACAACTTTTACTAATTTACCATGACGTACACAAGCTCAACATTGAGTTGGGGGGAGCGGGGGCTTCAGAACACTGATCTAAGTAATTCTAGATCAGTGCTTCAGAAGCGCAACATGATTCACTACATGGAATTTATCACAAGGGGTACGTGAATTTTGTATAAAGGGAACGGTAGTCTCAACCAGTAATGTCCAAGATTGTACTGTCAATGGGTGGCCTAGATAAAATTCAAAATTTTAGAATTAGAAAATTTACATCAAAATTTTATGTAGATATTTAGACATAAGAGATCACTATGTTCATGGTAACTGTTGATCAAATGAAATAAAAATTACGTTAATTAAAGTGTGTAGCCTATATAGTTCATGAACAAAATAACCTCTTAAAATAATGAGGGGCGGAACCGGAGGGGCTAAGGGGCACAAAAATAGAAGCAAAGCCAAAGGGGCAAAGCTCCTCCCATAAGATATCCAAGTATGACAACTTAATATAGAAGTGTCGGATTCTTCGCTTCCTGAAGTGCTACAAATGAACAAAATGACATTCCCCAGAACGAATGAAAAATCATTTCAGAAACTCTAGATGTATAAACTTTTCTGAGGAACTACCACCGACCCCAAGTTGTTCGATTCAGTTGCCCACTCCAACCAAACCAATCTTCCGCCGTTAATTATGTCCTCTAGTACATGACTGAGGAGATCTGGATTAATTAGCTTTTCTCACGCCGCCATTTTTGGGTCTGCGAGATAAGTCCATCGGCATAACAGCGTATAAAGTTTTGGACGAATGATGGTAAATTTGCTTTGTAAATAGTTAGTTTATTTTGAAAAATTGCTTTTCACATTGTTTTAATTGCCTGCATTGGTTAACGAGAATGGCGGGCATTCGTCATCCGTGAAAAAGGCTAATTCAGTACGAGTTCAAGAAACTTTCGGTTAGCAGAGCAGAACCCTGCTAACCGAACGTTTGCTTAAATCAGCAAAACCGGAGTTAATCCTTGTTGCCGCCGACATTTGGTCGCCAACCTGCGATAACTTTTATCATTTTTTTTACATGGAACGGCTTTAAATCTAAAGATTTCAAAGCTGTTTCATCTAATTCCACCAATATCTCGCCATCTACCTGTTCTTCTTGAAAGTTGTCAGCATAACATGCCATGTTGAGACTTGTCAAGAGTCGCCGAACTCCTTCGACAGATAGGGAAGACAGTTCTGTTGGGATAGGAATAGCGCACAGCGCCTTACGGACAGGAAGATCATACCGGTCTTTAGGAATAGCAAAAGCAGGTTTACGAGAAAGAACCATGGACCGAGTTCTAGTTTTTGGGACAAGTTTTTTACTGACAGGTTCCAGCGTAATATTTTCGGCATAGTTATCGCTTCCAGGTTTCAAATTCTGAGCAGACAGATCTGTTGGACTAGAAACTTTTTGCGAGGTTTTATTATCAACTTTCAGCTTGATAGATTTATCCGAGGCTTCACTATAATTTGGTTCCGACCTCGTAATTTCAGAGGAGGTTTTATTGTCCGGATCTACTGGGAAAGGAAATTTGAGCAAATATTTCCTGGCGGGTTCCAGTTTGGTCGTTTCAGTCAGGTTTTCACCTTTACGTTCCAACCTCGGACTTAGTTTAGTTTCCAATCTCGTAGTTTCAGTGGAGGTTTTATTGTCAGGTCTTGGAGTAGACGCATCTTCTGGGAAAGGAAGCTTGACCAAAATTTTCCCAGCGGGTTCCAGTTTGGTCGTTTCAGTCAGGTTTTCACTTTTACGTTCCAACCTCGGACTTAGTTTAGTTTCCAATCTCGTAGTTTCAGTGGAGGTTTTATTGTCAGGTCTTGGAGTAGACGCATCTGCTGGGAAAGGAAGCTTGACCAAGCATTTCCTAGCTGGTTCCAGCTTGGTCGTTTCAGTCAGGTTTTCTCTTTTACGTTCCAACTTCGGACTTAGTTTAGTTTCCAATCTCGTAGTTTCAGTGGAGGTTTTATTGTCAGGTCTTGGAGTAGACGCATCTGCTGGGAAAGGAAGCTTGACCAAAATTTTCCCAGCGGGTTCCAGTTTGGTCGTTTCAGTCAGGTTTTCACTTTTACGTTCCAACCTCGGACTTAGTTTAGTTTCCAATCTCGTAGTTTCAGTGGAGGTTTTATTGTCAGGTCTTGGAGTAGACGCTTCTGCTGGGAAAGGAAGCTTGACCAAACATTTCTTGGCGGGATCCAGTTTGGTCGTTTCAGTCAGGTTTTCACCTTTACGTTCCAATCTTGGACTTAGTTTAGTTTCCAATCTCGTAGTTTCAGCGGAGGTTTTATTGTCAGGTCTTGGAGTAGACGCATCTGCTGGGAAAGGAAGCTTGACCAAACATTTCCTGGCGGGTTCCAGCTTGGTCGTTTCAGTCAGGTTTTCACCTTTACGTTCCAATCTCGGACTTGTACTAGTGTTTTCGTTACGACTCATTGTGTAGTACTGATCTTCCTCTGATGTCATACTCACGTGACCCTGTGACGTCATAGCCACGAAATCATGTAATGTCATATCCACGTAATCATGTGATGTCATATCCACGTAATCATGTGACGTCTCGTCATTATCAATGTCTTCGTAACCGCCATCGTCAATATATTCGTAAGCGTCATCGTTTGAATTGTCACTGATGCTTTCGTATATATGATGATCCTTTTTGTATGCGTATTCCTCTGTGGGCCACCGAGGCTTGATATCATCATCATACTGCTCTCTGGAGCAACGAACCTTGACGTCATCGTACTGCCTTACCTTCTGCGCTTTTTCATTGGTATCTTTGCATATTTCATATTGCCTAACCGTTTCTGTTTTTCGAGACTGTTGATCGCAAGTAGGGGGTGTGATTTGCCTTCCACTACGGGACGTCGGCTTGGGGGGTAGGGCCGGTGGGACTTTTACATTACCAGAGTTTCTTGGTAGTGATTCTGCAACGTTATTACGTTCATGAACTTTTGCCGCCAGAACTGAACAAACTATTGTCTTTATATTTCCACTCGGCTCATCCAAGTACTGGCATTTGTGCGAATTATCCAATTCTTTTAAATCATATTTATCAAGAAAAGCTTGATTCAGTTCGCTGACGACATTTAAGTAAGTAGGATTCTTTTCAAGTAATTCCTTGGCCACGCAAACATTCAGGTCATAATCTTTTGGTATCTGCAAGCAATCAGTTACAGACGTTTTAGCCAAGCCTGAAGAATCAGCATTAATCTTTGTTGCAACAACCACCGTCTGTGGTTTTGCGCTGTGGATAACATTAACCTTTCCGAGGTTTGAGACCAAATTCTCAAATTCGTTGTCAACTTCTTGATTTGCATTCGGGGTTGGTAAAAACCGCACCTAATGAAAACATGTTTAGCAAAATTCAATACACACAGAGAAGAATAAAATCAGGACAAACAGAAGGATTTCTACTGGCTTATCAGAGGTAAGAGTACGGTTTCGATTGCAATTTAATGCATGTGAGAAAACGACCAAAATTGCACGAGTCCGAAAACTGTATTTCTTTTTTTGGCGCTGTATTTCGATAAAATCGCACTCTTCTGAACCAATTTTTTCATGTATATTATAAATATGTGAAGCAAAGTGATCGGGAAAACTGGCGCCATATACTGAAAATTTGAAATGCGATTGAAACGGGAAAAAAACACATTTAACCATTCTATTTCATATGCAATGCAATACGCCAATAGACCGATTTTTCGAAGTTATTATTGCTCTGTATTTGATAAAAATAGTGAATGGTTCCTGCAATTTCAATTTCAAATATCGCACATTATGTAAACCCCAAACTTTAAGTACAGCACATACTATATATTTTAATTTTTTGTCTATTTAAATCATGCACCTCTTATTTTCAAATTTTGCGTAATTAATACTCAATGACAATACGAGAGGTTTATACTTTTAAGAACAAATATTGTTCTTGTAACAGTACCTAATAATGATACATGAAAAAAATTTCTCAATTCTGATTGGCTAAGAGCTGTGCAATTTCTTTCGAAAATCGAAATACCAAAGTGCCAAAAAATTAAATACAGTGCAAAAAAAGAAATACAGTGCAAATTTCATTGACAATTTAGGCTTTCTGATATGAAACAATAATAAAAATAGCCAATAAGATACAGCAATTTCCAGCAGAAATAAACGGGTCGTGTTTTATATGTGATAAAACATTTCTCGTATAATTTGAAAAAAACATACACTTCTCCTTCGGACGTGCAATTTTGATCGTCTTTGAAAAACTCACTCGTGCATGCATGTTTCAGTTTTCCAAATTACACTCGAAACCAACCTGTTACATATACAAAATTTCTCCAAAAACTACAAAATAGAGCTGCCACAGTTATTATGGATATGAACAATGACGTAAATCACTCTATTGCTTTATGTGCACTAGGCTGGGAACCACTCGAAACAGAAAGAAAGCCAAGGCAAAAATGATGCATAAAGTCGGTTAAATAAAATAAGTCCCAAATCACTTACTTATCTTTTTTCATACAAAAGTGAGAAAACAAATTACAACCTTCGGGAAATTTCAAATGGTCTTTGTTTGCGATAGCAGACTGATCTCAGCCGACCCCCGTGGAGCGGTGGAGAAACAGCCTGCGATCAATCAACCCTAATGCCGTACAGTCACGTAAGCAGTATTTGCATAATTAATTTAAAATTATTAAAAAAATGTCAAGTCCAGTAGGACTTGTCATTGTCATGCCAAATAGGAGCCATTTGATATATTAAAGACTTGATGCTTGTGATGTTACTCTGAGTGTATATCCATACCGGGCAAGCTTGAAAAATATGCCTGGCATATTCGTGGCAACCCCCTGGGGAATACATTTTCTGTGGTTCAATGCATAGTACTATAGATGTTCAATTACCACAAAAAGTTCCCAAGCAAAAAACGTGCCAAACACCGAGAAAATGGGTGATCAGTGATTATCCTCTATTAAATTGTATTACAGCAAGAAAATGTGAAATTTTGTATTCAATTACAACAAAAATGACTTGCATCATCAGCACGCTTAGAAAAAACCGCATATAAGACTCCAGTAAACAGTTTTTTGATCCTTCAAATAGTCTTTGAGTTATTGCTGTTTTACGTATACTTTTAATGTAAAAATTGGACCAAAATGTCGCAATAAGGACTGGGTACTAGGTCAAAAACGCGACGCGTTTTTGACAGCGTATAACTCGAAATATACAATTTGAGATATAAAAAAACTGTTTAAATGTCTTATTTTTGTAAGCTTTTTAATGATGCAAGTCATTTTTGTTGTAATTGAATACAAAATTTCACATTTTCTTGCTGTAATACAATTTAATAGAGGATAATCACTGATCACCCATTTTCTCGGTGTTTGGCAAGTTTTTTGATTGGGAACTTTTTTTGGTGATTGAGCATCTATGGTACTATGCATTGAACCACAGAAAATCTATTCCCCAGGGGGTTGCCACGAAATTGCTTTTCTAAGCATTTTTTCGCACAACGGCCCACAACCTAAGACCTTTGGAATACTAGACATCTTCATATTAAAGACTTGCCAAAACCAGTTGGCAGGTTAACAAACACATCTCTCTTAGACACGAAATTTGAACAAGGCTTCCTCTTGTTCTTGTTTTGATGTATCGACAGAGAAAAGGGACTTAACGTCTTCGACTGTTCTCTTCAAACTTTAGAAATCCGCCGTTTTAACAATGTAATTTATGCAGTTTTCGGAGTGATTACAAAGGAAAATTTCAACCAATCATATTCCGGCCCCCGTTGTGCGGGAGCAACTGTACGGCATTAGTGTTGATTGAACGCAGACTGTTTCTCCGCCGCTGCAGGGGGAAGGGGGGGGTCGGCTGAGATCAGTCTGCTGTCGCTATAGTTTACCAAATCCGCGTTGAAACAATATGAAAAATAGTTTCATGTATGACGGAGTATACCTTTGGAATTCTATTCCAAAGGAAATTAGGGAAAGCAACACTCTTTCTTCCTTTCAAAATAAATCGCTGCTCACATCATTGAAATAGAGTAATAAGTAAATTGATGTGCCTGTAAATATTCTAATAGCGTTCGTATCATGTAAATAATTTAGTATTTTGCCAAATTTTTGTAAATAGCTCTTAATACGGGACAAAATAAGTCGCGACCTACAGAAGACGCGAGTTTGTCGTATAGGTACAAAATTCTAATGTAAGTCGCGCTTGGGACTTGGATAAGACGCGACTTAAATAAGAACAGGATTTTTAGCTGTTCTTATTTAATTAAGTCGCGTCTTAAATAAGACATTTTAGATAAAAAGTCTAACTGTACATGCCCGAAACTTGAAACAACGTAAAATTATTAGCCTTGCATAAATAAAACAAAAACACTGACCAAAACAACATTATAGCTATAGCATTTATACGGTAACTCCATGCACTTATTTAAGACGCGTCTTATGTAAGTCGCGACTTATTTTGTCTCGTATAAATGGCCCTAATATCTTCTTTATGGAATTTTTTCAATTTTTGCAAACGCCCCTCGTGGAAATCAGTTTCGGTTGACGGGGTCAGCGTGTATAAATAAAGTTTTTATCTATCTAAACTCGATGCCATTTTCCCGTATTAATCAATTTTTTATGGTAACATTTTTTTCGGTGCCAATTTTTTCCGCCTTCATCCAGTATGAATGAAGTTAGTTTAGCTCTGAGTTTAGTTTAGGTTTCCTACTATAGAATATACTGCCACTGGAGCAGTAAGTGATAGCCCTAGCTTACTATAGATCTGTAAAATATAACCAGTTTAGAACTGACAGAGCTGTCCAGCATTGTTTTATAGTTTTAGGTTTCCTCCTGTAAACAAAGAATTTCACAGAGTTGAAAAAGCTCTTTAAGTGGAGTTCAAATTACTCCTTCGTAGAGAGTTATGTCAGAAGAGATATTTTTAAACTTTACTGAAAAAAGAGTTATTTTAATTAATTCTCTTGGGAAAAGGCAAAACTTAAACAACTCAACGTTAACAAAATTTGGACGAGTCATTAAACTCCTAAAAGGAATTATTTTTACTACATCGATCAGAACTAAATTAAACTGACCAACTCAATATTTAGAGATATATATTTAACACGACAATTTAACGGCAACGGCTGGTCAATATCTCTGAATTTCACGGCAGAGTTACTAGAATCAATGTGTTCAATTTCCAATATGGATTCCGGCTTAAGGTATTTCATTCGTTCGCTCCAATGATTCTCCAAAACACGGAAGTATTTAATGTCTGGATATACGTGCGACATTTGTGAGACATATATTGGGTCGTATTTACAATATATCGACAAAGGACAGCGCAGGAGATTATTTTCACACTTTAGTGGGATTGAAATAGGTCGTCCATCCGAGTCTTCTGCCATCAAATTGTGTTTGGTGCGAAGGGCATGCAACATGAGAACTTGATTATTATCAAAAGTACAAGTGTCGTTCATCCCGTAGTGGCCGCCTTCTTGGGAACAACACACCAAGTTGGGAACACCAAACGTATCGAGAAATTCATTTAGTGCATAAGATGCATCGCTCCAAGTTAAAGATTTGATAAATTTAGTCGCTTCCATTGTAACCAACTACCTTACTACCACAAAGTAAATATTTTAACACGAAGCTCATGACATTGTGCACAGTAAACAGGCCTTTTAAGTGGTCTGTCTTGTAGGCCAATATTGCAGTAACTTTCATTCCCCAAGAGTATTAGGGTGTGTACCGACAGCCGTTTCATTCTTTTTGCCCTTTAGCCCTCGCCCACTTATAAAGAGTCCTTTTAAAGGGGGCTGTAAAGTGTAGTTTCAATCCATTTTCTCAGCCAAAACGAGTCATCTAACCCAGTGACTTGCCCAAAATTGCCAGTGTCGCAAAATGTTATGTATTCTGTGTGTAATGTCTATTTGTTCTGTGTTAAAAATTACATATATATATATATATATATATATATATATATATATATATATATATATATATATATATATATATATATATATATATATATATATATATATATATATATATATATATATATATATATATATATATATATATATATATATATAGTACAATCTGCAGACATGCATGTTTCGGCGTTCAACGCCTCGTCAGTGCAGCTTGGTACACGTCTACATACGTAAGACACTCGTATTTATACCCCATGAACTTGCTCTCACCAAGGCATGTGGTACAACACGGTGACTCAACGCATCCAGACATGCGCAGAGCGTAATGGGGCCAGAGTGCTCAAACGACCACAAGGGAAGTGAGCTTTGCATTATCGCTGATAGACACCCATTAACAACTCCGCAGAGTGCTCAACAACACCGAAGTGAAGGAGCGTAATAGTACAATCTGCAGACATGCATGTTTCGGCGTTCAACGCCTCGTCAGTGCAGCTTGGTACACGTCTAGATACGTGAGACACTCGTATTTATACCCCATGAACTTGCTCTCACCAAGGCATGTGGTACAAGACGGTGACTCAACGTATCCAGACATGCGCAGAGCGTAATGGGGCCAGAGTGCTCAAACGACCACAAGGGAAGTGAGCTTTGCATTATCGCTGATAGACACCCATTAACAACTCCGCAGAGTGCTCAACAACACCGAAGTGAAGGAGCGTAATAGTACAATCTGCAGACATGCATGTTTCGGCGTTCAACGCCTCGTCAGTGCAACTTGGTACACGTCTAGATACGTGAGACACTCGTATTTATACCCCATGAACTTGCTCTCACCAAGGCATGTGGTACAACAAGGTGACTCAACGCATCCAGACATGCGCAGAGCGTAATGGGGCAAGAGTGCTCAAACGACCACAAGGGAAGTGAGCTTTGCATTATCGCTAATAGACACCCATTACAACTCCGCAGAGTGCTCAACAACACCGAAGTGAAGGAGCGTAATAGTACAATCTGCAGACATGCATGTTTCGGCGTTCAACGCCTCGTCAGTGCAACTTGGTACACGTCTAGATACGTGAGACACTCGTATTTATACCCCATGAACTTGCTCTCACCAAGGCATGTGGTACAAGACGGTGACTCAACGTATCCAGACATGCGCAGAGCGTAATGGGGCCAGAGTGCTCAAACGACCACAAGGGAAGTGAGCTTTGCATTATCGCTGATAGACACCCATTAACAACTCCTATATATATATATATATATATATATATATATATATATATATATATATATATATATATATATATATATATATATATATATATATATATATATATATATATATATATATATATATATATATATATATATATATTAACTTAATAATATATATAACTTTAATTTCTTAACTTAAAATATAGTCACAACTCTGAGTTTCACGCTCAATGCGATCTTCAGGCGACAATGTTTAAATCTCAATAAAAAAATTCCTGTATGATTACGTACAGTTACGGTTACGGTTACGGTTATGATTACGGGCAGTTTTGATGGAGCAGAAGTGTGCGAACTTATCGGCCTATTTATACTCAATTCCTTGGCAAAGAAATATGGTAAAGACCGCGTCGGCCTTTATCGTGACGACGGTTTAATCCTACTACGAGGTACTTCTGCCCGGCTTGCTGACAAAGCTAGAAAAGATCTCCACCAACTTTTCGATGAGTTTCAACTGAAAATCACCACAGAAATTACCTACCAATCTGTCAACTTCCTAGATATCACCTTAAATTTAAATGATGAAAGCTACCAACCCTACCGAAAGCCTAACAATGAACCACTTTTCATTGACAGTCATTCAAACCATCCTCCTTCAATTACAAAGCATCTACCATCTTCCGTTGGCAACCGAATTTCTCAGTTATCATCGAATCAAGAAGCTTTCTCGAAGTCCGCACCTCTTTATCAAGCCGCGCTCCACCGTAGTCATTATCCAACAAATTTACGCTACTCCCCTAATAATAAACAGAAGAATAGAACGAGAACGAGAAATATAATTTGGTTTAATCCACCTTTTAGTAAGAATGTTAGAACAAATGTTGGTAGAAACTTTCTAAACCTGATTGACAAACATTTCCCTGCGTCTAACCCGCTACACAAGATCTTTAACAGAAACTCGGTGAAAGTAAGCTACAGTTGCATGGATAACTGTAAAAGCGTCATCTCCAAACATAACCTCGGTACACTTTTAAAGAATAAAACTGTTGTTGTAGCATCTACCAAAGACAACTGTAACTGCATAGAAAGCACTGAATGTCCCTTAAACAATAATTGCCTTACAAAGAGCGTTGTTTATAAAGCCGAGGTTACGGACGACACAGGAGTAATGCGAGATTATATTGGGATGACATCAAACACGTTCAAGAAACGTTATTACAACCACAAGACATCATTCAAAGATACGAGCTATGTAAAATCCACTGAGCTGTCCAAACACATTTGGAACTTGAAAAACAAGAAACGCACATTCAACATCAAGTGGTCCATTCTGAAGCAAGCATCATCTTATCGCAGCGGCGCAAAAGGTTGCAACCTATGCCTCCAAGAGAAACTCGAAATTTTGAAAGGTGATAAGAAAAGATTACTGAACAAGAGATGTGAGCTATTCTCGAAGTGTTGCCACCGGAAACAATTCTTGGCGGGAAAATTTGAACGTGCGCACGCAATACCATCACGCAAGTAGCCTAACGAACTCGCACGTAATCATACAGGAATTTTTATTGAGATTTAAACATTGTCGCCTGAAGATCGCATTAAGCGTGAAACTCAGAGTTGTGACTATATTTTAATTAAAAAATTAAATTATTTGCTCTACGTTATTAAATGGTATTGAGCACTCTTTCTACACTGTAAAATTTGATCATCTTTGGTCTCATTAATATTATATATATATATATATATATATATATATATATATATATATATATATATATATATATATATATATATATAACATCTAAACAAGTATAGCTTTTAAAGAGAAATAACTTGCATCAAATAGAGGAAGGACTAACTTAGACTTTGATATATTACAGTTGTATTTCACTTAAAAATTCACGGAGATATTAATCTTTAAATTCGGGAGGATATTTCTGGATGTGTCTGAAATATGCAAAATCGGCGTATCAAATATTAATCAAGATTTGCCCGACTGAAACATGCACTATTACCAGTAAATAAATGACACTTGACAAATTGTTTATTATGAAACAAAGTATTATTATATCTACAAAATACAAGCAAGATTCATTCGTCCGAAATTCGCGTGTGTTCCTAGCACGAATACGTTTCCTTATTTCATGAGACCACTGCATCGCGAAGGATCGTCATTGGATCGTTCGTAGTTCTGAATTAGGGCATGCTGTCACAACGGAATTGTGAAGCTCTTCTAACTTCTGCAACGTTCTGAAATCTTGTCAAGAACACCCAAACTCTTTTGCCGTTTCTTAATCTTGGCAAGTTCATGGAGTAAACTGAGAATTATATGAAACACAATCAAACCATACAACTCCATAAGACATAACAATTAAGCAACTCCCCAGAGACATGCAACATTTTTTGAACAAAACGTAACAAAATAGTAGCGTTGATACGGTGATGTGTATTTGCAAAAAGCAATATTATTTCCTTCAATAAAGAATATTCATCCTGCTCTAACCGAGAAATAATCTACTCAGTCTGTTTGAACCCATTAAAAACATAAAAAATTAGGCTATTTAAGAATACGAAAAATTTAAGCGCCTGCCTTCCATGGTCAGTCTTTCATGTACATTTAAGTTTGTAAAGACCTAATATTAAATACTTGCATAATTTCGAACGTTCATATTTCAGGAAACAATGAGCTAAGACTTACATGTAAGATGTCTAAATCTACGCCATATCCCTTACAAACCTTAACGATAATTCGCTGAAATACAAGTTAGCCTAATATGTCATTAAGCAAACAAACGCTGGAGTTAATATTTGATATGCCGATTTTCGCTAATTTTAGACACATCCCAAAATATGCTCCCGATTTTGAACATTAATATCTAAGTGAATTTTTAAGTAAAATACAACTGTGATATATCAAAATCTAAGTTAGTCCTTCCTCTATTTAATGCAAGTTATTTCTCTTTAAAAGCTTTACTTGTTTAGAAGTTATTACGAATCAAACAGGAGTACTTTTTTTTGGGACACCCGGTATATATATACGAGTAGGTTTGTGTATACGAAACGCAAATGCTCAATATCATAAAGATAGAGCAAATGTAGAATTTCGCTTACTTCAATGATTCTTTACTGATGAAACAGACTGTTGCGGAATTTTGAGTTAAGCTAAAATATATTATATATATATATATATATATATATATATATATATATATATATATATATATATATATATATATATATATATATATATATATATATATATATATATATTGAATACATATGTACCACTGGGATTAAATTTGAGGGGGGAATATTAATGCAAGTCTATATATATTATTAGTGTATGTTAATTAGGATTGGGCCAAAAGTATTTAAGGACATGAATTTGAACTTATCTCGTTTCTGACGAAGGGGCTGTGCCCCGAAACGTATCTTTATCTTTACAACATGTATTTATATATATATATATATATATATATATATATATATATATATATATATATATATATATATATATATATATTTCAAAAACTCATTAATAACTCGTGAAGCAATTATCCAATCTTAAGTAAGAAATTAGTCACGTGCATACGTCTTTATACCAGTTAAAGAACACTTTAGCAAAAGACCATTGTTATGCAAACTATATAAAGATTTTTATATAAAGATTTTTATATAAAGATTTTCATATAAATATTTTTATATAAAGATTTGACTTATTATGCAAACGTTTTTGAAGCCATTTAAAAAACTCGCAGGTCGTGTTTTATTAGGTCTAAAGCCACTCGCGCTGCGCGCTCGTGACTTTAAACCTATTATAATAAAATACTCCTGCTCGTTTTTTAAATAGTACATATATAAAATACTCCTGCTCGTTTTTTAAATAGTACATATATATATATATATATATATATATATATATATATATATATATATATATATATATATATATATATATATATATAATATATATATATATGTATATATAATTTTTAACACAGGACAAATAGACATTACACACAGAATACATAACATTTTGCGTATTAATTTTACATAACATATAATATATATTTTAACCAGCATTTTACATAACATATAATATATATATATAAAACATTTGTATCAGTTCTTTGTTTGTTTGTTTGAATGGCGATAAAACATATAATAGTTTTGTTTGTGGAAACACCACGTAAATTTATTACTGCAAAGCTTTCGATCCGTAAGCCCGGATCTTCATCAGTGCTAATAATATGTGACTTGTTTAATTCACACGCCCTTTTTTATCATTAAACGTGATATAGGACATAAATAACGTGATATAGGACATAGGTGATATAGGACATAGGACAACGTGATATAGGACATGCAACGTGATATAGAACGTGATATAGGACATAATGGGAACACCTAATCCCACATTAGAACGTCACGAACATGACTTGGGATGGTGTGGTAGATCAAAATTGGATTATGAACCACAAAAAGGAAACGAAATAGCAGTAAACGTGTTCCATTTACATAAGGAAAATTTGTGGTAGAGAAAATATGTATTCCTGTTCTGTTAGTATAAATATAGGCTAAAAAGTGTAGTGTAGATCGGTATCGGTTATTGGATTGGTTATTGGTTATTGTCGTGTTGAACGTGTTATGTGTGTGTTAGTTTGAATCGCAAATTGAGAGTTGACAATCGTGTTGGGTAATTGTAACTTACATCATTGTAAAACGACGTGCACTAAACAAGTGTATCTGGATTTAATAAATATATTTAAAAATATTTAGTGCCTTGAATCGTGAGCCAGCAACCAGCGTGACTTACACGAGTTACGCGACAGCCAGTGCAAATCCAATTTCGAAACTACACTGGAAACATCCTGAGTATTTTGACTGAGTTAAAACTTGAGTAATTAAACTCGTCACCCACGGTGACTCCAAGTATTCGAGTTAGTATAAAAAAATATGAAAGTGATCATTTTATGTCCAAAGTTACAAACAGTACAAGGACTATCGTCATGAAATAACTACAGGTCTACTAACCGTGGGTCTTAGCGGATCATTCATTTTTTTACGACTCTGAAATATGAGAATCAGTTTATTTTTTACAAAAAAAAGAAGTTATTTTTTCCATTTTTAATTTTTAAATCATCCGAATTCTAAGGTCATTTCATTCAATTATCAGAAGCTATCTATATTTAGCGGGGAAATTTACAGTTCACTTTACAGTTTGGTTTACGAGTAATAGGTATTCTTTCGGTAGTTTGGTATAAAGAGGCATTGTCATTTTTGTGATGGAGCTATCAAATATTGAGACGGTCTTTTCTTCGCCCACCCATATAGGCAGCTCAATACCTAGGCGTGTTAAATATTTGACTAAAATATTCAAACTTTTAGTAAAACTGAGCCTACGACCTTTCGAATACTAGCCCAATTGCTCTGCCAACTGAGCTACGCGGTCAGGTCGGTTCCGATATTTCGGAACAGAATCTAGTTTCTTCGATATCAATGTAATCTAATAATCTAATGATGCTTGCGATGTTACTCTGAGTGTATATCCACACCGGGCAAGCTTCAAAAATGTGCCTGTCCATGGTGGGAATCGAACCTACGACCTTTGAAATACTAGCCCAATGCTCATATTTCAAACATAGCCCATATTTCAAAATCGTAAAAAGGTGAATGACCCTAAGCCTAAGGCCCACGGATTCAAAACAAATGCCAAAGTCATGATATAAAAATATTGATAATTTATTCAAGTACGTGTTATTGGACCAGCGTAGTCCTAAAATTTTACCGAGGGGGGGGGGCTCTTCAAGGTTGGGGCTAGGGGCATGGGGGCCGAACAATTTTCGACTCTTGTGTCCCTGAAACAGGATTTCCAGCATCCTAAGTGATGTTATAAAAGGTATAAGGGCCTGTTCATAGAGCCCAGCTAACCGCGAAACTCGCCTGAGTGAGATCTGCATGCCCTTTGTTGAAACAGCCTTATACTATAAGTTGAGAGCTACTGAATGATCACGGAGCAACCTGATCGAGTCTTTCTACGGGCGTCTATGGCAGCAATCTTATGGCTCATGTCTGATCACGGAGCACAGCTACGGTGGACGGTTCAGTTTGGGGGCTAGTCCCAACAGGAGCTTATCCGCCCCCCCTTCACTGAAGATGGATAATAAAAACATTCCCTGTGGGAGGGAACTGGAGTACGTGGAGAAAATCCACGACTTTCGATAGAACATTTGCGGACTCTTTTCACACAAGTGTCATGTGTCGGCAGCAAGAATCGAAGCGACGATCTGTCAGAAGTGACAATTACAAACATTACAAGTACTTATCGTCATTAAAAAATGATAGGAAACCAAAACAAGGGTTAAGGTGTGTAGCTTTAATAAAGGTTGGTTTGGTGACCTCGACGTCATCGATCACTTACGAAACCGAGGGGCGTGCAAATCACTCCTTATTAAATATTAAAGGCAGGCTGGCCTATAAGATGTGCAAATTCGGCCATTTTATAGCCTGAGTATCGGGCCATATTTCCCTTCTTTCAATGCGGGTGGATGAGCTCGAGTGAAGCAATTTTATGGTCGGACGTTTTCGAACGTGCTTCGTAAACAAAGCTATACTTTTGTTTTATAGTCCTGTTGCGCTGTTACGGAACACTCATAAACAATTATTATTCATAAAACAAAATTTTAGGTTAATTAAATTTAAAAATATCTATATTCTTTGTGTTTATATACAGCTATTTCAATTAAGGTTGTTCACGAGCAAAGCGGAAAAGTCGAATACGAGCGCGAAAGGCTGATGGGAATCGCTTTGAAAATTCATTAATTTGTAAGCAATTCCCAGCAGCCTTTCGCGCTCGTATTCGACTTTTCCGCTTTGTTCGTGGACAACCTTATAATTGAAATAGCTGTATACTAGAGTCTGTGGTTATTATAGTATGCATAATCTAGAGTGCCAGTAGAAGCTAGCCTAGGGGTACCAGAAGCTCGGGATACTGTGGGCAACTTATCTGGTAATATAATTTCTACCTAGCTTTCTGGCTAATGACATGTTGGATTGAGGATTCTTGAACCACTAGAAATAGGATTGTACTTCTTGAATGTTGGGTAACAGTCACAAGTGTACGTATAAGCAAAGTATGTAGATTATAGTCTTTATAGGGTTGCACTGGATCTCATTATGCAGGCCAGAACTGAGAAAGTCACACATGCTAGTCAGACATCAAGTCAGAAACAAGAATAAATTGGTAGATAATAAATATTGTCACTTCCAGTCCATGCATGCGGATTTATTTGGGGGTTTGTTCATTTCATTCCTCTCTCTGTGCACCACTGTATGATGCAACTACCTGAAACTAAGAAATCAATGAACTTCAACATTTCAAGTGAAAGACCTATAGTATTATTTTTCAGGTAGTTGCATGATACATTCAAGCCTTTAAATAGTGTGGTGGCTTAAGCTGCTTTTCTCATTTCCTTTCTTTACTTCTTAGTTTTGTCTCTAGTGAAAACTTTATTTTACAACATTTTAATTATATAGTCTCTTTTCGCTCTAATTGCAGAATTATTTGATGGTGAGACAGTTCATAGTTCAACCTCTTTATTAAAGAATAATCAATTATCAATTATTAGAAATAATTAATTTTGTGAGCAGTGATAAAACTATCCAGACAAGTTATTATTATGACTTTGTAGCCAGATGGGTATGATTTTGCTTTGGCTGTTCAGCATTTTGATCCATTGGTTGTTGTTCCAACAACTTGTTATCGTCCTGCAATTCAACAATTTGTCAACAAGTTGTGAGTGACAACCTTGTAGCAACTTGATGAAATAACAACATTGTTACAACTTGTTGACAAGCTTGCTACAAGCCTGTTGCGAACACATCTTGTTGACAAGTTCTGAGCTAATTGTGCGTGTACACACGGAAAAACGCACAAGTGGTTACAAGTCTGCAAACAAGTTGTTACAAATCTGTTCACTAGCTGTTGACAAGTTGTCTTCGCACTGCTTGTTCCCAGTTGTTGTAACAAGTTTGGAACAAGCTGTTAACAACTTGTAACAAGCTTGATGGCATTATCAGACTTGTAGCAAAGTTGTTCTAACAAGTCTGATACAGTCATGATATAACAAGAATGTTACAAGGTTGACGACACAAGGTTGTAGCAACATTGTTATATCATAATTGTATCGGACTTGTTGGAACAACCTTGTAACAAGCCTAATAATATCAACAAGGTTGTTACAAGTTGTTAACAGCTTGTTCCAAACGTGTTGTCAACTTGGGACAAGCAGTGCGAACACAACTTGTGTCAGGCTTGTTGGCAGACTTGCTACAAGTTGTGAGATTTTCATGTGTATATCAAAGTCGTCTGCATCATGCAGTCATGTGCATGTCCATGCGTAGGTCACATGCGAAACCGATAATTTTAATATAAACAATTTTATTAGAAAATCTACTAAAAACGCCAGACATATTTGATATTTCACGGTCACTCGTAAATGTTTGGGTTTTTGTATTATTTTCACTTTTTGCACTGTATTTCATTTTTTTGCACTGTATTTCACTTTTTTGCACTGTATTTCATTTTTTTTGCACTGAATTTCACTTGGCACTGTATTTCATTTTTTGCACTGTATTTCGCTTTTTTGCACTGTATTTCATTTTTTGCACTGTATTTCACTTTTTTACACTGTATTTCATTTTTTTGCACTGTATTTCATTTTTTTGCACTGTATTTCACTTTTTTGCACTGTATTTCATTTTTTTTGCACTGAATTTCACTTGGCACTGTATTTCATTTTTTGCACTGTATTTCGCTTTTTTGCACTGTATTTCATTTTTTGCACTGTATTTCACTTTTTTACACTGTATTTCATTTTTTTGCACTGTATTTCATTTTTTTGCACTGTATTTCACTTTTTTGCACTGTATTTCATTTTTTTTGCACTGAATTTCACTTGGCACTGTATTTCATTTTTTGCACTGTATTTCGCTTTTTTGCACTGTATTTCATTTTTTGCACTGTATTTCATTTTTTTGCACTGTATTTCATTTTTTTGCACTGTATTTCATTTTTTTGCACTGTATTTCATTTTTTTGCACTGTATTTCATTTTTTTGCACTGTATTTCATTTTTTTGCACTGTATTTCATTTTTTTGCACTGTATTTCATTTTTTTGCACTGTATTTCATTTTTTTGCACTGTATTTCATTTTTTTGCACTGTATTTCATTTTTTTGCACTGTATTTCATTTTTTGCACTGTATTTCATTTTTTTGCACTGTATTTAAAAAAAAATTGCACTGCTCTTAGTCAATCAAAATATAGAAATTTTTTCATGTATATTATTATAGTAGCATTTTACAAGACAGAACAGAGGAACAAATGAAGAAAGAAGAAGAGAGCAAGAGAACCTTATTACAGTAAAAAATTCAAAATACAAGAACCTTCCCATTGGCATTGACATTTCCTGTAATTTGTTCTGTAATACTGTAACGGTTACCGATTTATAGACAAATACGGCGATAAAATTCAAAAATTTCAAAGGTTTCATGTGTTAAAATGCAGCGCATAAAACGAAAAATGCATCCTTCGCTAGATATTATCAAGTGAAAACAAAGAAATTGTCGAAACTGCCAAATTTTGTCGCCATATGTATTTGCTGATAATTTGTTAATCGCAGAAAATTAGTTTTACCGATCCTGTTCCTCGGATAATAAAAAAAAATTTGATAACAATAACATATGTTATGAATAAAAAGCACTACGTCGTTACATCATTAAAAGGACGCATTTTATCCTCATCCGTTCCGTATTTTATCCGCATATCCGTTCCGTGGATCCGCTCCATCCGCTTCCGCATTTTAACCTAATTGTGACTAGTTTCACAACAACAAGTCTCATTGACCTTTGACTTTTCCCAGTGTAACGTCTATTTTCAGCTTTTCGCGTGTGTTGAATAATGTCACTTTAGTTTAGATTTCAATAGTTTCACAGTTAAGCAGTGTTTAAAGTACCCTGGATCAGGGGGTTTCCTGTTTTGCTGAAGCCTGCACTCAGGCGGTGCTGGCCAAATTGGAAACCCCCTGGGCGCGATGTGTTGATTGATTGATTTCGCCGAACCAATCAGATGCCTAGGATCAGATTTTGACCCTAGACATCTGATTGGTTTATCGGGCCTTATCGGCAATCATCAATAAACGTTTGCTGTATTCTATTTATACTGTTCGACAAGTGAGTGCATTTCGTTAACAAAAAGCGATTGTTCGTGGAAACGTTTATGAGGAGAATTTGTTGGTTGTCGTCTCAGATGAAGTTCATGTTATTCCTAAACAGTTAGATCAAATAGCGTCATTGCAGACATATTAATATCACGCTATGATGATGCGATGATTCTGTATCTACGTCGAGTAATTGAGCGGAATTTTGTTGTGTGTATGTGGTCGTGTTGTGCTGTGCAGCCTGTACTGTTTGCTGTACTGTGTATAGCCTGGTTCACATAAAATCGTTAAGCAGTCGCAGACATGTGCCTAATTTTTGTATGAACGATCTGCGATGGATCGGGAAAGTTGAATCAAGTTCAACTTTCCCGATCCGTCGCCGATCCGGTCTTAGACAGTCTGCGCGAATCTGCATTTGTGTTCATATAAAAATTCGGCACATGTCTGCGACTGCTTAACGATTTTATGTGAACCAGGCTTATGTTCAATTGTTTTCATGTAGTTTGTTGTTTTAAAATTGTGTAGCCCGTATTGTGGAATTGATGAATATTTATGAACAAAAATTCAGTCGTGGCAAGGCATTTGGGTTAAATATATTATATATTTTATATGTAAATATACACAATGTAAAGTCCTAAACAGAATGATATAGAACGTTCTGTATCATCAAACCTGAAAGTAATAATTCAATAACTGTCATTATATCACACTTGCGTCGGTTTTCTTTGATCGTCCGAGGTTTATAACTAGCTTATAGACCTTGAATAAATGATTAGATTAAATTTGTAGACAAAACGCGAGAATTTTTCATTAAAAATTTTTGAAAATGACAAAATATGTTGGAAAACCTCCGCAAGTGTGATATAAGTTAGTTATAAACCGAGTAAGTCGGTTTATAACTGATATATTGATAGTCAATATATCAGTTATAAACCTCCTACTCGGTTTATAACTCTTACTTACTATATATTTCACATGCAAGTATTAAAATATGTACTCGATTGCTGCTTGTATTTTGAATTTGTAACTTGAAACTGCTTAGAATAGACAGATTTCATCAGTATAAATTTGGAGACACGTTGTCGTAGTGTCCAAAATAGGCAGCCGATGCGCCAGTTCATTGGAAATCTTCCCAGAGAAAATATTACATTTTCCTCTTCCGAATACAACAGTTAATGTAACATTGGCAAACACAACAAAATTGGTCAGGGGAATATGTTTTTGTTGAATACTTTTGAATACGTATTACACCCTTCAGACCGGAAGTGTGAAACATTAATAAATTACGTCATGGAAATGAAATTCGACAGGTCGCGCCCAGAGGTTTTCTCCGCCTGGTCGCCTTCAGAAAACCTCTGAACCCAGGGTATGTTTAAAGCAGTTTTGACAACCTTTGAACAGTTCTGTGTACAGAATACTACAGATTGGTTCTCGTAAGATCTGGTAGAGTTATCGTTGCACTGAACAAGAGTTTGCACCGTTGACAACGGCGTTGTACTAGACTGTAAACAAAGACAAGGTCCGTAACGGTACACGTTGGCTACATGTACCTCCTTGATTTTTTCTTCTATTGTATAAAGCTTGTTGGCGAGGCAAGCGATTGGCGATAACACATTGGATATCTCCTCGTCTTTCTTATTTAAATAAGGAGCTCTGACTGAACTGATTTCTTTAGTCTCGCAAGTTATTTTCTTCGTAAACGCCGTACAAACGTTTACCCGCTTCTGTTTAATAGTTGGCTTTATTGATCTGATACAGATCTGATTCAATTTTTCGCTCTTTGTACTGAGTGTAGCCATCTATTCTGTGATGTAGCACCTTATACAGTCAATGACAATGTATAATGAATACACGGTCTAAATGATATCGATGGGCACTCAATTGAATGCCGGTATTAAATGTAGAACATAATATTGTATTATTGCGTAGAATCTCAAAGATTTTCTCAATATTCATGTCTGAAATGTTTATATACTTGAAAACAACACTGTCTCGCTTCTGCCTACGTACTGTACCTCTGTATAATGAGTATGCCGTGAAAATAATATCGGCACTCAATTGAACGCCTAGAATTGATAGAATCTCAAAGAAATTCTCAATATTTATGTCTGAAATGTTTATACATTTGAAAACAACACTGTCGCTCCTTCCTAGCTCTGTATAATGAATATACCGTCTACATATATCAGTACTTGATTGAAAGACCGTCATGCATAACATAAATTTATATATTGCGTAGATTCTCAAAGATTTACTCAATATTCATGTCTGAAATGTTTATACATTTGAAAACAACATTGTCGCTCCTTCCTAGCATCGTGATCTACGGCTTCATAGCGCATGCGCATTTGCGCTGCTATAGAAAAAATCGGGTGTTCCGGGGGAAAGATCCTTTACACAACATGAGAAGCGAATGTTCTAAAATTACAAAAATAGGTACGCAGTGCGTACATGTTGCATGCCATCAAAAGCTAGCGTGAAAACAGACCTACGTTACGCCCGCCCTAAAATTCGCAGGTTGACGGAGCTGTTAGACTTGCTCCAAATCTCTCTTTCATTGTCATATAGTATCAATCCACTATAGTGTACATTACATGACGTGCTACGGAGGGGCGGAGCGAGAAGGAGAGACTTGTCAACTTCGGAAAATCTCGGTTAAAAACTGAACAGAAAATGCAAGACTTGCTTTAATTGTTTCCTTCAATTTCTTTCTGTATTATTTAGTATAATGGAACTCATGTTATTTACACTGTGCTAGATCAATACATATAAACACTGACAGAAAACTATTAAAGCAAGTCTTGCATTTTCGGTTCAGTTTTGAACCGTGATTTTCCGAAGTTGACAAGTCTCTCTTTCTCGCTCCGCCTCTCAGTGCTACGTCATGTAATGTACACCATAGTGGATCGATATGACAATGAAAGAGAGACTTGGAGAAGGTCTACGGATCCGTCGACCCGCAAATTTTAGGGTGGGCGAAACGTAGGTCTGTTTTCAGGCTAATCAAAACCATGAAACGTTATGACACAGAATACTATACAGAAGTCAATTTCCATTGTGTTTTTTTTGCGTTAGCGCTATTCGTCATGATTGATGATTCGTCACTCAGCAAGTACCGTAAACAGAAGCAGTCGCCCCCCAGAGGTCACCCCCCTGGTTATGATGCGCTAGCGCTTATAACGTTTGGTACAACTGCCCTGAAACTTAATATATTGATTCAATAAGTTTAATATCAATATATATATTGAAAATTGGCTATTATGTCAAAATAAGAAAATTTTAGATTATCACGCGAAAAGGCAATGTTTTTATGAGCAACTGTTCATCGTTAGATGCAGACGACGGTAATATAAACAAGTTCAAGGTTTATCGAAAGCGATTGACTGTTAGATTTCCTTTATTATTTTATAACTAAATAATGTTATCCCCTACAAATTTAGCTTTATTGTAGCCTTACTGAAAGTATAAAAAACATGGAAACGGTGAATTACTACAGAATAATTGTTAAACTACGATCGAAATTATCGACGTAGAATGCTATTTCGTTGTAATTTCAATAGTATTAATGAGAATTTTGTTTGTTATTTTTAATATATTTCATGTTATTTACAAAATTTACTGTAGTTTTGAAGTTTTGCACACAATATAATCAATGCGAGCACAATAACTCCACTTCAGTTTGAGTATTATATTTAAATTTAGTATTTTGATAGCGTGGCCTTTCACGCTATATAATATTACGCCTGATAAATAATCAGTGCGAGCACAGCGGCTCCAAAATCACAACAAAATAACAGAATATAAAGTAAATTAAAACAGCCAAGCTTTACCTACCTCGATGTATTTTTCTAAGGCGCTCGACTATGTAAATTTTCTGCGAATCTATGCATTTGCTCGACGAAAACCATGGTCTGGAAGAAAACGTGCACACGATTCAAAATTTATAATTATGCTTATTGTTATTATGCTCGTCCCACGTGATCTGCCGCAAGTTTCACCACCACCAACGGACACGAATTTTAAGCTATATGATAGTTGCATGCCATATATGGGCATGCAACAAAAAATTACAATAACGACAACGATTCCTCGAAATTTTTGTGAATATTTAAAGAAAATAAATAAAATTGCTTAAATAACCTTCAAAGCACGGACTAAGTACAATAAATCACTGCGAACATAACTCGTATACATCCCCCGGAAAGTCTACTCTATGATTGACTGACTGAATAAGACTGATTGACTGACTGATTCGTTTGAATGCGCCAGCTATCACAACAGTGTGAAGTGAAACTAAAAACACCAAAAGGTGTCATCGGATACTCTCTTCAACACGTCAGAAGCTCCAAAGGGGATTCCGTGCCAGAGGGTATGTGTAGTAATTTGCTCGGTACTCAAGGCAAAAATGACGTATCTGACAATGGCAACTGCTGAGCCATAAAACCATAAAACTATAGAACTTATCTAGAACTTATAGAAACGTGGAACGATAGAACTATAGAACCCAGGAGTGAATTACTCCAAAAATACTCATAAAATTTATACTCATAAAAGTCCCAAAAAAATTTCCGAAAACTCCCGAAATCCTGCCAAAAATATTGAAATCCCTAAAATCCAACATCTTTCTATACAATCACTAAAAATGCCACGAAATGGCTACAAATTTCAAAATCTCTTGCAAAATCCCATTCAAAATCAAAAAGTCTATACTCGAAATCCGTAAAACTTGCCAAAAATGTTCTGTAAAATCCGCTAAAAATCTCGCAAAAATCCCTGGGTATTTTTGGAGGGATTTCACTTAAATTAAAATCCCAAAACTCCATGTACGCTTTTTTCAGTTTGAGTAATACATCCCCCTATAGAAACACAGAATTATAGAGCCGTACAACCTTAGGAGCGTATCACTAATGAATGCATGACTATAGTATTGCATTATTATATTTAGATAATAATTACGCTTACACATTAATCGATAACCGAATAATTCTGTGATGATATTCGAGTTAACCTATTTTCGAGTTAATATTTATTTTACTAATATTTCACTGGAAGAAAAAAACCCGTCAGCTAAAAGCTACAATCTTGGCCATAACCCTTGAGAAAAGAAATTTCGTCACCCCCTTTTCCCCAGTTCAAACAGCACCCAAACAACTTTTGCTAATTTACCATGACGTACACAAGCTCGACATTGAGTTGGGGGGAGCGGGGGCTTCAGAACACTGATCTAAGTATTTCTAAATCACTGCTTCAGAAGCATAACATGATTCACTACATGGAATTTATCATAAGGGGTACGTGAATTTTGTATAAAGGGAACGGTAGTCTCAACCAGTAATGTCCAAGATTGTACTGTCAATGGGTGGCCTAGATAAAATTCAAAATTTTAGAATTAGAAAATTTACATCAAAATTTTATGTAGGTATTTAGACATAAGAGATTTGTACGATGTTCATGGTAAAATGATGATCAAATGAAATAAAAATTACGTTAATTAAAGTGTGTACTCTATATAGTTCATGAACAAAATAACCTCTTAAAATAATGGGCGGCGGAACCAGAGGGGCCACAAAAGTAGAAGCAAAGCCAAAGGGGCAAAGCTCCTCCCATAAGATATCCAAGTATGACAACTTAATATAAAGGTGTCGGATTCTTCGCTTCCTGAAGTGCTACAAATGAACAAAATGACATTCCTCAGAACGAATGAAAAATCATTTCAGAAACTCAAGATGTATAAACTTTTCTGGCTAACTACCACCGACCCCAAGTTGTTCAGTTGCCCACTCCAACCAAACCAATCTTCCGCCGCCAATTATGTCCTCTAGTACATGACTGAGGAGATCTGGATCAATTAGCCTTTCTCACGCCGCCATTTTTGGGTGGCTTTTCAGCCGAAGTCTGCGAGATAAGTCCACATAACAGCGTATAATTTTTTGGACGACTGATGGTAAATTTGCTTTGTAAATGGTTCGGTTTATTTTGAAAAATTGCTTTTCACATTATTTTAATTGCCTGCATTTGTTAACGAGAATTAGATGCCAACCCCCAAAATGGCGGACATTCGTCATCGTGAAAAAGGCTAATTCAGAACGACTTCAAGAAACTTTCGGTTACTACAGTAGCAGAGCAGAAACCTGCTAACCGAACGTTTGCTTAAATCAGCAAAACCGGAGTTAATCCTTGTTGTCATCAACATTTGGTCGCCAACCTGCGATAACTTTTATCAATTTTCTTACATGGAACGGCTTTAAATCTAAAGATTTCAAAGCTGTTTCATCTAATTCCACCAATATCTCGCCATCTATCTGTTCTTCTTGAAAGTTGTCAGCATAACATGCCATGTTGAGACTTGTCAAGAGTCGCCCAACTCCTTTGACAGTTAGGGAAGACAGTTCTGTTGGGATAGGAATAGCGCACAGCGCCTTACGGATAGGAAGAGCACACTGGTCTTTAGGAATAGCAAAAGCAGGTTTACGAGTAGGAACGGTGGATCGGGTTTTAGTTTTTGGAACAAGTTTTTTACTGACAGGTTCCAGCGTAATATTTTCGGCAGAGTTGTCGCTACCAGGTTTCAAATTCTGAGCAGACAGATCTGTTGGACTAGAAACTTCTTGCGAGGTTTTATTATCAACTTCCAGCTTGATAGATTTATCCGAGGCTTCACTATTTGGTTCCGACCTCGTAATTTTAGTGGAGTTTTTATTGTCCAGATCTACTGGGAAAGGAAAATTGAGCAAAATTTTCCTAGCGGGTTCCAGCTTGGTCGTTTCAGTCAGGTTTTCACCGTTATGTTCCAACCTCGGACTTAGTTTAGTTTCCAATCTCGTAGTTTCAATGGAGGTTTTATTGTCAGGTCTTGGAGTAGACGCATCTGCCTGGAAAGGAAGTTTGACCAAACATTTCCTAGCGGGTTCCAGCTTGGTCGTTTCAGTCAGGTTTTCACTTTTACGTTCCAATCTCCTCGGACTTAGTTTAGTTTCCAATCTCGTAGTTTCAGTGGAGGTTTTATTGTCAGGTCTTGGAGTAGACGCATCTGCTGGGAAAGGAAGCTTGACCAAACATTTCCTGGCGGGTTCCAGCTTGGTCGTTTCAGTCAGGTGTTCACTTTTACGTTCCAACCTCGGACTTAGTTTAGTTTCCAATCTCGTAGTTTCAGTGGAGGTTTTATTGTCAGGTCTTCGAGTAGACGCATCTGCTGGGAAAGGAAGCTTGACCAAACATTTCCTGGCGGGTTCCAGCTTGGTCGTTTCAGTCAGGTTTTCACCGTTATGTTCCAACCTCGGACTTAGTTTAGTTTCCAATCTCGTAGTTTCAATGGAGGTTTTATTGTCAGGTCTTGGAGTAGACGCATCTGCCTGGAAAGGAAGTTTGACCAAACATTTCCTAGCGGGTTCCAGCTTGGTCGTTTCAGTCAGGTTTTCACTTTTACGTTCCAATCTCCTCGGACTTAGTTTAGTTTCCAATCTCGTAGTTTCAGTGGAGGTTTTATTGTCAGGTCTTGGAGTAGACGCATCTGCTGGGAAAGGAAGCTTGACCAAACATTTCCTGGCGGGTTCCAGCTTGGTCGTTTCAGTCAGGTGTTCACTTTTACGTTCCAACCTCGGACTTAGTTTAGTTTCCAATCTCGTAGTTTCAGTGGAGGTTTTATTGTCAGGTCTTCGAGTAGACGCATCTGCTGGGAAAGGAAGCTTGACCAAACATTTCCTGGCGGGTTCCAGCTTGGTCGTTTCAGTCAGGTTTTCACCGTTATGTTCCAACCTCGGACTTAGTTTAGTTTCCAATCTCGTAGTTTCAATGGAGGTTTTATTGTCAGGTCTTGGAGTAGACGCATCTGCCTGGAAAGGAAGTTTGACCAAACATTTCCTAGCGGGTTCCAGCTTGGTCGTTTCAGTCAGGTTTTCACTTTTACGTTCCAACCTCCTCGGACTTAGTTTAGTTTCCAATCTCGTAGTTTCAGTGGAGGTTTTATTGTCAGGTCTTGGAGTAGACGCATCTGCTGGGAAAGGAAGCTTGACCAAACATTTCCTGGCGGGTTCCAGCTTGGTCGTTTCAGTCAGGTGTTCACTTTTACGTTCCAACCTCGGACTTAGTTTAGTTTCCAATCTCGTAGTTTCAGTGGAGGTTTTATTGTCAGGTCTTCGAGTAGACGCATCTACTGGGAAAGGAAGCTTGACCAAACATTTCCTGGCGGGTTCCAGCTTGGTCGTTTCAGTCAGGTTTTCACCTTTACGTTCCAATCTCGGACTTAGTTTAGTTTCCAATCTCGTAGTTTCGGTGGAGGTTTTATTGTCAGGCGGATTTGCGAGGAAAGGAAGTTTGAGCAAAAGCTTCCTAGCAGATTCCAGCTTGGTCGTTTTAGTCAGGTTTTCACTTTTATATTCTAACCTCGGACTTTTACCAGTGTTTTCATTACGATTGTTTTCTGGATCAGAGCCACTCATCGTGTCCTCTGATGTCATACTCACGTGGGCCTGTGACGTCCTAGCCACGAAATCATGTGAAGTCATATCCACGTAATCATGTGAAGTCATATCCACGTAATCATGTGAAGTCATATCCACGTAATCATGTGACGTAATCTTAGTTACGTCAATATCGTCAATATCTTCGTAACCGTCATTGCTCGAACTGTCGTCACTGATGCTTTCATATATATGATGATCCTTTTTGTAGGCGTATTTCTTTGTGGGCTTGACGTCATCGTACTGCCCTACGTTTTGCGCTTTTTCATTGGTGTCTTTGCACGTTTCATATTGCCTAACCGTTTCAGATTTTTGAGACTGTTGATCAGAAGTAGGGGGTGTGATTTCCCTTCCTCTACGGGGTGTCGGCTTGGGGGGTGGGGCTGGTGGGAGTTTAACATAACCCGAGTTTCTTGGTTCATGAACTTTTGCCGCCAGAACTGAACCAACTATTCTCTTTGTATTTCCACTTGGCTGATCTAACTCATCCAAGTACTGGCATTTGTGCAAATTATCCAATTCTTTTAAATCATATTTATCAAGAAAAGCTTGATTCAGTTTGCTGACGACATTTACATAAGCAGGATTCTTTTCAAGTAATCCCTTGGCCACGCAAACATTCAGGTTATAATCTTTTGGTATCTGCAAGCAATCAGGTACAGACGTTTTAGCCAAGCCTGAAGAATCAGCATTGATCTTTGCTGCGACAACCACCGTCTGCGGTTTTGCGCTGTGGACAATATTAACCTTCCCGAGGTTTGAAACCAAATTCTCAAATTCGTTGTCAAGTAATTCTTGGTTTGCATTCTGGCTTGGTAAAAACCGCACCTAATGAAATCATGTTTAACAAAATTCAATACACACAGAGAGAAAAAATCAGGACATGCAATGAATCATAGGTAATAGCATGGTTTCGATTGCAATTTAATGTGAAAAAACGACCAAAATTGCACGAGTCCGAAAAACTGTATTTCTTTTTTGGCACTGTATTTCGATAAAATCGCACAGTCCTCGGAACCATTTTTTTCATGTATATTATAAATATGTGAATCAAAGTGATCGGAAAAAATGACACCGGAAAAACTGGCGCCATACTGAAATGTGATTGAAACGGGACAAAAGCATTTAAAACAATTCTATTTCATATTCAATGCAATACACCGATTTGTCGAAGTTATTATTGCTCTGTATTTGGTTCCTGTAATTTCAATTTCAAATATCGCACATTATGAAAACCACAAACTTTAAGTACAGCACATACTATATTGTTAATTTTTTGTCTATTCATATCATGCACCTCTTATATATTTTCGAATTTTGCCTAATTAATTCTCAATGACAATGCAAGAGGTTACAAACTTTTACGAACAAATATTGTTTTTGTAACAGTACCTAATAATATACATGAAAAAATTTCTCAATTCTGATTGGCTAAGAGCTGTGCAATATTTTCGAAATACAGTGCCAAAAAATGAATTATAATATATATAGCATTTGTAAATTCTGAAGGCTGACTGGCTAAGAGCCGTGTTGATATAACTCAATGTCAACACAGAAACGTCGGAAATTTCTTTCTTTATACTTCTTTGGCTATATTATAAAACAAATATAAAACATTTTTTCCGTATTGATATACAGTTATATCAACACTCGTGGAAATTGGGAAAACTCGAAATTGTGTGAAAACACTCCGCCCTTCGGGCGTCGTGTTTCCACACAATTTCTCGTTTTCCCAATTTCCACTCGTGTTGATATAACTGTATATCAGCAAGGAAAAAGTTTTATATTTGTTAAATACAGTGCAAAAAAAGAAATACAATGCAAATTTCATTGACTATTTAGGCTTTTAAATAAGATACAGCAATTTCCAGCAGAAATAAATAACTGAATAATTAAAAAAAAAAAACATTTAGAAGTTTTTAGGAGTGACTGCATAATTTTTTCATGTATATTATCAATAGGGCCATTTATACGTGACAAAATAAGTCGCGACTTACATAAGACGCGACTTAAATAAGTGGAGTTATCGCATAAATGGTTCTCTACGGCTTTGGTCTTATTTATTTGCTATAGCTATAAATGTTGTTTTGGTTGTTTTTGTTTTAATATGCAAGGCATTAAATTTTACGTTGTTTCAAGTTTCTGGCATGTGTAGTTAGACTTTTTGTCCAAAATTTCTTATTTAAGACGCGACTTAAATAAGAACAGCTAAAAGACCTGTTCTTATGTAAGACGCGTCTTATCCAAGACGCGTCTTACATAAGAATTTTGTACCTTTTATACGACAAACTCGCGTCTTACCTAAGTCGCGTCTTATGTAAGTCGCGTCTTATTTTGTTCCGTATAAATGGCCCTAATAAGTAATAATATGGTTTCTCGTGCAATTTGAAAAACCATACACTCGTGAGTTTTGATCGTCTTTTTGAAAAACTCACTCGTGCATGTTTTTTCCAAATTGCACTCGAAACCATACTATTACCTATACAAACTCGATGCCATTTTCCGCCTCAATTTTATGCTTTTTTTCCGGTACCATTTTTTTCCGGTGTCATTTTTTCCACTGCCATTTTTTCCGCCATTCATCCAGTATAAATAAAGTTAGTTCAGTTTAGATTTCCTACTATAGAGTATTGGTGATACTGCATGCCACTGGAACAGTAAGTGATGGCTCTTACTATAGACCTATATAATATAATCAGTTAGAATTGTTCAGGATACTAAAAAGTTTGTTTACGGTTTTAGGTTTCCTCCTGTAAACAAAGAATTTCAGAGAGTTGAAAAAGCTCTTTAAGTAGAGTTCAAATTACTCTTTCGTACAGAGTTGTTCAGTGTCAGAAGAGATATTTTTACTCTTAGTAGTAAAGACTTAGAGATTTATTTGAATTCTCTTGGGAAGAGACAAAGCTGAGTTATTCAAACTCCTATATATAAAGGGAATTATTTTGACTACATCAGAATTAAACTGATCAACTCAATATTTAGAGCTATAATTGAACTTGAACTTCATGAAAGTTAAATCGAATTAGTAACACTAGACCACTACATAAGAGATGACTTTTACTCATTTTACTGGACTCTATGTATAGGGAGAACAGTTTAGATAAATAAAACTAGTTTAATTATTCATTATTTACCTTCGCTGGCAAACCAAAGAGGCTGATGGCACTTTTCAAAGTATATTCACAATAGTCCAATAAAGGTTCAAACACCACACGACAATTTGACGGCAACGGCTGGTCAATATCTCTGAATTTCACGGTAAAGTTTCTAGCATCAATGTGTTCAATTTCCAATATGGATTCCGGCTTAAGGTATTTCATTCGTTCGTTCCAATGATTCTCCAAAACACGGAAATATTTAATGTCTGGATATACGTGCGACATTTGTGAGACATATATTGGGTCGTATTTACAGTATATCGATAAAGGACAGAGCAGGAGATTATTTTCACACTTTAGTGGGATTGAAATAGGTCGTCCATCCGAGTCTTCTGCCATCAAATTGTGTTTGGTGCGAAGGGCATGCAACATGAGAACTTGATTATTGTCAAAAGTGCAAGTGTCGTTCATCCCGTAGTGGCCACCTTCTTGGGAACAACACACCAAGTTGGGAACGCCAAACGTATCGAGAAATTCATTTAGTGCATAAGATGTATCGCTCCAAGTTAAAGATTTGATAAATTTAGCCGCTTCCATTTCATCCATTGCAACCAACTACCACAAAGTAAATATTTTAACAAGGAAGCTCATGTCAGTAAACATGCAGCAAATCATGAATATATTAGTTCAGGCCTTTTAAGTTTGTCTTGTAGGCCAATATTGCAGTAACTTTCATTTCTCGAGAGTAATAGGGGTGTATAGACAGCCGTTTCATTCTTTTCAGCGCTTAGCCCTCGCCCACCTATAGAGGGGCCTCTTAAGGGGGCGATAAATTCTAGTTTCAGTCCATTTTCTCAGTCAAAGAATTGTCTGAATCGTGTCATCCGACCCAATGATTTTCCCAAACTTGCCAGTGCAAATCCAGTTTCGAAATTACACTGCAAACATCCAGAGTATTTTGACTTAAAACTTGAGTAATAAAATTCGTAACGCACGGTGAATCCGAATTTTGAATAAAGTATTCGAGTTGGTATAAAAAAATATGAAAGTGATCAATTCTGATGCAGAATTACGAAATTACAAACAGTACAAGTACTATCGTCATGAAATTATGTAATTACAGGAATCCAAAACAAAGGGAAGGTAATACCCTGGGTACGAGGTTAAGGCCAAGCTAGGTCACGGACTCACGGTGAAATATTGATCATTTATTTAGAAGTGTTATTGGACTAGCGTAGTTCTAAAATTTTAACAGGGGGCGGGGGCGCTTCGAGGTAGGGCCTTGAGGCATGGGAGCCAGAAAATTTTCAACTCTTGTGTCCCTGAAACACGATTTCCCGCAGCCTAAGTGATGTTATAAAAGATCTAAGGCCCTGTTCATAAAACCCGGCTAACCGGGAAACCCACCTGAGTGAGTCTGCAAGCCCTTTGTTGAAACGCACCAACCTTATATTATGATCAGTTGACAGCTAAGCTGATCACTGAGCACACGGCTACGGTAGAAGGTTCAGTTTGGGGGCTAATCCCAACAGGAGCTTACCCCCCTTAAGACCACAAGGAATGTTGTTACTGTCCATCTTCAGAAAATCGACGTACTTTGAGAAAACCCACGACTTTCGATACGTTTGCGGATTCTTTTCACACAAGTGTCATGTGTCTGCAGCAAGAATCGAACCGACGATCTGTCAGAAGTGACAATTACAAACATTCCAAGTACTTATCGTCATTAAATAATTATAGGAAACCAAAACAAGGGTTAAGGTGTCTAGCTATAATAGTGACCTTGACGTCATCAATCACTTTATACGAAACCGGGGGGGGGGGGTGCAAATCACTCCTTATTAAATATGATAGTGGTGTATAGACAGCCGTTTCATTCTCTTAAGCGCTTAGCCCTCGCCCACTTATAGAAGAATCCTCTTAATTTAAGGGAGCGGTAAAGTGTAGTTTCAATCCATTTTCTCAGCCAAAGCGTTGTCTGAATCGTGTCATCCGACCCAATGATTTGCCCAAAATTGCCAGTGCAAATCCAATTTCGAAACTACACTGCAAACCGATCCCGAGTATTTTGACTTAAAACTTGAGTGATTAAATTCGTCACCCACGATGAATCCAAATTTTGAAGGAAACCAAAACAAAGGTCACGGTGAAATATTGATAATTTATTTAGACGTGTTATGGGGCGGGGGCGCTTCAAGGTAGGGCCGTGGGAGCCAGAAAATGTTCAACTCTTGTGTCTCTGAAACACGATTTCCAGCATCCTAAGTGATGTTATAAAAGATCTAAGGGACCGTGCAATATTTACTAAAAGGCAGGGCCGGTGGAAAACAGGGCAGGGAAAGAACTTTTTTCAGTCGCCTTAAAGGCAGGGCTTTTACTTTTTTATGTAATAACTAAAGGCAGGACAGCTACTTTTTCTGATATTGAAATATTTCTTTAATAAATAAACATAGTTCAACACATCACAGGTCAACTGTACAGATTGAACGTAGACGTTTCACCCAGCCCAAGTGAAGGGTTTAACATCAATGGACAATCGATATAAAAGCTAAAATAAGTCTGTGGTACAGTATAATAAACAGGTATAATAACATAGGGTTTAAATTGAAATCTCAATTCCATTCCAAATTTGGTGGAAATTTCAATTTTGAAAAGTGGAAACACTATTATAATGCAAACATTGGCTGGCAATTTGTAAGCAGCAATTTGTGAGTGTTATATTGCTTTTGTAGTTTTGAGCATGTTGATTATAGTTTATAGTTAACTATTCTAACTCCAGGCAAACATTGGACTCTGATCCGTATAAAATGTGTGTACAAAGATCCTCTAAAATTCAATGAATTTGAATTCAAGAACCTGATTAATTACTTCTCAGCCAGCACTCGTGGGTTACTGGAACAAAGTCTTATTATTTCACATTTTGTTGTTTTTATGGTATAAATCTTGGTAAGAAATTATGGCACAGCAGCAGGGCAACAACATTTTTACCAACAGTTAGATAGCAGGGCAATACATTTTTTTCATTTGATAGAACGAAGGGCAGGAAGTTTTTTTTCATGAAATTTTGCTTTTCCACCGCCCCTGCCTTTTAGTAAATATTGTACGGTCTCCAAGGGCCTGTCCAACCAGCAGACGGGAAACCCACTTAAGTGAGATCTGCATGCCCTTTGTTGAAACGAACTAACCTTATATTAGTTAGCCCTTTGTTGAAACGAACCAACCTTATATTATCAGTTGACAGCTAAGCTGATCACGGAGCACAGACAGCTACAGTGGAAGGTTCAGTTTGGGGGCTAATCCCAACAGGAACTATCCCCCCCCCCCCTTAACTGACCACAAGGAATGTTGTTGTCCATCTTCAGAAAACTGATCACGTACTTGGAGAAAACCCACGACTTTCGATAGAACGTTGGTGGACTCTTTTCACACAAGTGTCATGTGTCGGCAGCAAGAATCGAACCGACGATCTGTCAGAGGTGACAATTATAAACATGACAAATATTTATCGTCATTACATAATTATAGGAAACCAAAACAAGAGTTAAGGCGTCTAGCTATAATAAAGGTCGGTTTAGTGACCTTGGCGTCATCAATCATTTACGAAACCGAAACCGATTTGCACAAATCACTCCTTATTAAATATTAAAGGCAGGCTGGCCTATAAGGTGTGCAAATTCGGCCAATTTATAGCCTGAGTATCAGGCCATATTTCCCTTCCTTAAATGCAGGTGGATCAGCCTGAATAAAGCAATTTTATGGTCGGACTTTTTTCGAACTTCGTAAACAAAGCTATATTTTTGTTTTATAGCCCTGTTACACGCGTAAAAATCTCACATCTTGTAGCAAGTTTGCCAACAAGCCGTCAACAAGTTGTCGGTTCGCACTGCTTGTCCCAAGTTGACAACAAGCTTGGCACAAGCTGTTAACAACTTGTAACAATCTTGTTGATATTACCAGACTTGTTGCAAGGTTGTTCCAACTAGTCCGATACAGTCATGATATAACGATATTGTTACAACCTTGTGTCGTCAACCTTGTAACATTCTTGTTATGTCATGACTGTATCAGACTTGTAAGAATAATCTTGTAACAAGTCTGATAATTCCATCAAGCTTGCTACAAGTTGTTAACAGCTTGTTCCAAACTTGTTACAACAACTGGGAACAAGCAGTGGGAACACAACTTGTCGACAGCTCGTGAAGAGCTTTGTAACAACTTGTTTGCAAACTTGAAACTTGTGCGTTTTTACGTGTGTACGAAACACTCTCACTTATTTTACTCACAAAAACAAAATTTAAATATAGAAGATGTTTGCTTCAACGCAGGTGAAATGTTAAAACCAAGAAAATATTATTCTAAGCATATGTAATGAGAGGAAATAATGGATATTTTGCCACAAATCAAAGTAAAGTAAATATATTTCGGTTCTTTGGAAAACATTCATTATTTCTTCCATTAGGCTATGACAGTTTGTTAGACTAGCTGCCGTTGTGCATTTGAAAGTATCATGTTTAATTTGATTGACCTGTTCCCTGTAGTTTATCTTGTGGGCAGATTTGTTTAATTAAAAAGAGCAGCTGCCCAAGGTCTCGTGCAGAACATTGACCTTTCATGTGGACAGGTTCAAGGCTTGAAAAATGAGTCATCTCAAGCTACACACGCAAAAATCTCACATCTTGTAACAAGTTTGTCAACAAGCCGTCAATAAGTTGTCTTCGCACTGCTTGTCACAAGTTGTCAACAAGTTTGGAAAAAGCTGTTAACAACTTGTAACAACCTTGTTGATATTATCAGGCTTGTTGCAAGGTTGTTCCAACATGTACGATACAGTCATGATATAACAATATTGTTACAACCTTGTGTCGGAAACCTTGTAACATTCTTGTTTATGATGCCCGTATCAAACTTGTTACAACAACTGGGAACAAGCAGTGCGAAGACAACTTGTTGACAGCTTGTGAACAGATTTGTAACAACTTGTTTGCAGACTTGGAACAACCTGTGCGTTTTACGTGTGTCGATAACACTCGGTCATATAATTATATTACGTCACCGGAATTTTACTTTGTATAGGTAATAGTATGTGGTTTCGATTGCAGACTTGTGACAACTTGTGCGTTTTTACGTGTGTAGATCAAAGTCGTCTGCATCATGCAGTCATGTGCATGCGCCATGCGTAGGTCACATGCGAAACGGATAATTTTAATATAAACAATTTTATTAGAAAATCTACTAAAAACGCCAGCCATCGTCACTCGTATAAATGTTTGGGGTTTTGTATTATTCTCACTTTTTGCACTGTATTTCATTTTTTTGCACTGTATTTCACTTTTTTGGCACTGTATTTCATTTTTTTGCACTGTATTTCACTTTTTGGCACTGTATTTCATTTTTTTGCACTGTATTTCACTTTTTGGCACTGCATTTCATTTTTTGGCACTGTATTTCACTTTTTTGCACTGCATTTCATTTTTTGGCACTGTATTTCGAAAAATTGCACTGCTCTTAGCCAATCAGAATATAGAGATTTTTTCATGTATATCATTAGCATTTTACAAGACAGAACAGACGAACAAACGAAGAAGAAAAGAATGATAAGAGAACCTTATTAGAGTCAATACAAGAACCTTCCCACTTCCGCAATCTGTTGACATTTTCTGTAATTTGTTCTGTAATACTGTAACGGTTACCGATTTATTGACAAATACGGCGATAAAAGTCAAATAGGTTTCATGTGTTAAAATGCAGCGAATACAACGAAAAATGCATCTTTCGCAAGATATTATCACTAAACTGATAAAAGCAAAGAAAACCAATATATATTTGCTGATAATTTGGTAATCGCTACAGAAAAACAGAGGCAGAGCTATTATCAGATTCCATATATATTTATTCCATGATGAAATTACACGGTACACGTATTTAATAGACAAAGCACCGATATCCGTCATATTCCCGAAGATTTGCGGGTATGTTCATTACATTTAGTAGTATATCTTAAATTTCAAGGGTATTTAATTTTTTATGCAATATTTAACAAATATAAAACATTTTCCGTGTTGATATACAGTTATATCAACACGAGTGGAAAATGCGAAAACGAGCAATTGTGTGGAAACACGACGCCCGAAGACGGAGTGGTTTCACACAATTTCGAGTTTTCCCAATTTCCTGTCCAGTGTCAGCCACTACTGGTTTAACGTATATTAGGTCTCCATCCATTTATAAATCTGATCATTCGTTTAACATGAAATGGTTTCATTCCAATCGATTTTAAAATCTCCTCATCCATACTTTCCAACATAGCACCATCAATTAATTCTTCTTCAAAAATACCGGCATATCTCTCCAAATCTAACGCGCACAGTATCTTCGTGACATCTTTAACGCTTAATCCGGATAAGTTTTTTGGCAATGCACTGGTTTTCACTGGCGACAAACTTAGAAAACAGTCGGGCGACATACTTAGAACAGAATCGGAATTTCGTACTGTTGTCAGTTCATAATATATTTCATCGTCTGAGTTTTGCTGGTCTTTATTCAACCTTTTTGCTTGAAGTGATGCTAATTCGTTCAACTCATCAGTTTTCGGTGTGCTTAAGACTTTACTAGGTAGTTTTTTCTCGGGTAACTTTGCAATTTGTTTGTTAGGAAATTCCGGGGTGATGTTCCTCGTTGTTCGTGGCGTATCGGTTTCACCTTCATAATTTTTGTTTTCTTTTCGATGCATTTTTCTCTTTTCTATTTCACTTAAAAGGTTCTCTTTGCTTATGAAAAGTGGTTTAGGGTTGGAAGCATCTGGTAGAGCTTTCCCATCTTCTGTTTGGCTAGGAATCCGTCCTTTATTGCCAGTACGGTTGCAAGTGATGTCCGACTTTCGAGGTATTCTTACACGTTTTACAGGAACCGGCCGAGCCTTCTTGTCGCCCATTCGGTTAGGAATGCAGCTTTTTCGGGCGTTGCTGCCCATGTAGTTAATCTCGATGTTCGATTTTTGAAGTATTTTTTCAGGTTTTGGATCAATCACTTCTACATAGATAAGTTCCTCGTCATGAGCTGGTAGAGCCGTCTTGTCGCCTTTTTGGGTGTCATTGCGGTTATAGTTAATCTCGCTATCCGATTTTCGAGGTTTTATCATAGGCCATAAATCTTTAGTTTCCAAATAGGCAGGTTCCTCATCCGAGCTTTCGCGCCGATTTTGTGTCGGTTGTGCGTTTTCCAGGCTGCGTATTGAAGCCGTGTTTGCTTTTGAAATCGGACTTGACTCCAACTGTTGAAAACAGGCTGCAGGAGGTCGTTGATACGCAAACTTCCTGCATCGAAATTCCGAGTCTTCGTTGTTGACATCGTAATCAACTGACGCACATTCGTATCGTGTTGTTACACTAGCGACGTTCTCATAGTCTTCAAACCTCGATTCAAACAGCCTGTCTAGGGGTTTGACCATTCGAACATATATGACTTCGTTTTCCAAGAATTCCTGCGCAACTCTGACATAAACTGGTATATCTTTTGTTATCTCTAAACAAACATCCGTCGAGTTTTCGCCAAGAGTAGTCATAACAACTACCGTCTGTTCAATGACGTCTAGAATACTTACTTCCTGTAAATTTGAAACAAAACTGGGCAAGTTAGGATCTATAGTCGCCTCGGATGATTGTCGTAGAAACCTTACTTTGACCGGTATCTCGAATTTTTCTACCACTTCCGCCAATGTATATTGATTACAATCGCGCAAGGGACAAAACAATGCCGTGCAATTAAAATGGAATTGTATCCTTTTCGTTGTTGAAACATCTCTACATTGAATACACTTTCCTTTGGTATCAACACCAGTAATTTCTAGAATCGCGCCCTCTTGGAATGAATTCGAATTAGGTGATTTTGAACTATCATAGTCACCTAGCGTTAGAATGTATTTAACTTGGTCGGACAATATGCTCAATGGCAAAGCAGATATCTTTGAAAATTCACGATTTTCTACGACACATTTGACAGGATAAGTATAAGGAAGAGCCACACTTTTACCGTCGGCAGTTTGACATGCAAACTTTTTAATCTTTCGAACGCAATGTAGTTGAACGACCTGCCCAGAAGTAAGACTTGTACTGTCATTACCGCCGAAGTAACCAGACTCGACACGCACGATCTGTGGTTCTTGAAGGTTCTCCACAAATCCTGCCAAGCTGTATTCTACATCACTCCAAACCAGGTTCTCAAAGCACAGACCTTCGCTTACAGAGGCCATGATATACCGATTTAGTTATTGAGTATCTAGAAATTTGGTAACATTATATACCCATGCAGCTGCGGATTACGTGGGCAGACGAGGTTTGGAACTCAGAAGTGTAAAAATAGTTATGATACAAACAAACTCAAGGGTTAAATGTCGAAATCGAAGATTCAGTCATGCAGATCAAAGCTGAAGCTAACAAACATCGTCTAACAACAAAAACTCACGGGTTAAATTAAGGTGGTATAAATTAGATTATTAACTGAGTGTCTAAATAATCATACCTCACATGGATTTGAACTTCTAGCGAACTAAGAAATACAGAACAATACGCGATATAAGGACAATTTAAGGCCACCTAAATTGTCAAGGAATTGGGGAAAGCTAAGACTCGTTTATCAGGCCATAGCAGACTGGAACAACTTGGACAGAAAGATAAAACTCTCTAGTAGTATTTCTAAATTTAGGAGAAACTTTTGGCAATCTTTGAACTTTCCCTCGTATAATTTTTAAATATTTCTCGTAGTTATGTAGTATATGCATGTCTTCCTTTTAAATTATTGGACGGTTTGCGGCTGTGATAAAATATTCTAAGATTTCCCCATGCGTGAAGTTGTAGGAAAAAAGTATAATAGTGGTAGGTATGTACAGAGTAAATAATGGCTCAACCTCGCAAGCCAGGTTCTCTACTTCCGCTTCCCTCCCAAACAGGCTGGAGCGTGATAGAATAATGGCTAGGACGCTGAAATATACTGATTGGTTAGTGTGTTACTGAGAGCAGTTGTTCTATATTTTTGTGTGTCATAGAGCATTTCGTTCTGAGCGATTTGCGACGAAGCCGGATGCACAGAGACGGAATAAGAGTAAGGGTCAGTATTCATAAACAGCAAGACATCAAGACAGTAAGGGTCATCCAGTAAGGGTTGATCCAGTGTTACTACAGGAAAAACCTGTGGTGCTTGGTAGAGTCAAACTGGAAGTACATATTCTTTTCTCATATGACTGAGGAGAAATTTTATCACTTCGGTTTCGAACCGGTTATAACACGTGCACTTATCTACAGGAAACGAAAGCTATTAGGGACTATTATGGTACCTGGGTAGGCCTTGGCAAGGTCAAATATTGATAGTATAAGATGTGTAATAATGCTTGTTTAGTTACATGTATAAGTGCTTAATAAGGCTTGTTTAGGAAGTACGGTATGTATAAATTAACTAGTAATCAAATGTTGCCGAAAAAACCTTGGTGGTAAAATTGTGTGTTCAAAGGAGATTTACATTGTCACGCAGTTACAGTCAGTATGTTTTTATTCAGAAGAAAAGTGGCAGAGCTTCCGATAATAAAGAGTTCGATGAAACAACGAAGACGACGAACTTACGTGCTTGAAAATTTTTGCCCCTACACATTATCTTGCGCATATCGAGTTTGGGATCACTGGCAGAGGCATACCAAGAGTGGTGGTGGTGGTGGTGGGGAGGGGTGCAACACCCCCATGTCACTTTGTCGATATTATAACGGAGAATAGTGAGCTTAAGCATAGCCTATCGAAGGGAAGATGACTGTGAAACTCATTAGAATACTAAGAATATAACTCATTATCTATGTTAGTCAACGTTTATTCTTAAATCTGGTCCTTCACCGTCACGTGCGTATTGTATTTTTGCCCCCAACTAACCAATAGCAATGTTTTAGGAAAGGTACCTATCCGTGACTCGAACAATAGGGTAAATTGGAAATTGCTATTGGTGGATTTGGCAAAAATACAATACACACATGACGGTGAAGGTGATCAATTGTCATGCAAGCTTTTATGTCCAAAATTACAAACAGTACAAGGACCATCGTCATGAAATAATTACAGGAAACCAAAACAAATATATAATAATTACAGGAAGCTAAGGTCATGGTGAAATATAGATAATTTATTAGAAGTGTTGTTGGACTAGCGTAATCCTAAAATTTCAACAGGGGGGCTCTTCAAGGTAGGGCCTTGGGGTCAGAAAATTTTCGACTCTTGTGTCCCTGAAACAGGATTTCCAGCATCTTAAATGATGTTATAAAAGGTATAAGTGAAACCCACCTAAGTGAGACCTGTATGTTCTTTATTGAAACAGCCTTATACTATAAGCTGAGAGCTATGCTGATCACGAAGCAACCTGATCGAGTCTTTCTAAAGGCGTCTATGGCGGCAATCTTAATTGGCTCATGTCTGATCACGGAACACAGCTACGTCAGTTTGGGGGCTAATCCCAACAGGAGGTTATCCCCCTCCCCCCCCCTTAAATGAAGATGGACAATAAAAAAATTCCCTGTGAGAGGAAACCAGAATACTTGCCAGAAAGAACCCAGGACTTTCGATAGAACGTTTGTGGACTCTTTTCACACAAGTGTCATGTGTCTGCAGCAAGAATCGAACCGACGATCTTGTCAGAGGTGACAATTATAAACATTACAAGTACTTAAAATACTCATTAAAAATTCATAAACGTTGTGCATGCGATTAAAATATCATTAATAATTCATAAACCTTGTGGCAAACATGTCAGCCATAATATGTCACGTGGAGTGACTTCATATCTCATAACACTCATCTTCATTAGTATTCTTTATATAATTGTTCATCCTAATTAGTATGATTATATAATTGTTCATCCTAATTAGTATGCTTTTGTAGTCGAATTTTAAGCTATTCAAAATACTCGAACTCGCGTTTTATCATATCTAAAACGCTCGGCTGTGCCTCGCGTTTTAAATATGATAAAACACTCCTTCTCGTGTTTTAAGTATACTTATCGTCATTAAATAATTATAGGAAACCAAAACAAGAGTTAAGGCGTCTAGCTATAATAAAGATCGGTTTAGTTGACATTGACGTCATCAATCACTCACGAAACCGAGGGGCGTGCAAATCACTCCTTATTAATAAGGGTGCAAATCACTCCTTATTGGTCTATAAGGTGTGCAAATTCAGTATCAGGCCATATTCCCTTCCTTAAATGCGGGTGGATGAGCGCGAGTAAAGCAATTTTATAGTCGGACCTTTTCGAACTTCGTAAACAAAGCCATATTCTTGTTTTATAGCTCTGTTACGGAACACTCTCACTTAGACGTATTCATAAAAATAAAATTTTAGGTTAAATTTAAAAATAGAACTAGATGTTTGCTTGAACGCAGGTGAAATGTAAAACCAAGAAAATATTATTCTAAGCATACTGAGAGGAAATAATGGATATTTTGCCATAAATCAAAGTAAAGTAAATATATTTCGGTTCTTCGGAAAACATTCATTATTTCTTCCATTAGGCTAGCTGTGACAGTTTGTTAGACTAGCTGCCCATTGGCGTTGTGTAGTTTAAACATCAGCCGGCGCCTGAGGATCGCATTGAGCGTGAAACTCGGAGTTGTGACTATGTTTTAAGTGAACAAAATTAATATTTGCTCTACGTAATAAATGGTATTGAGCACTCTTTCTACACTGTAAAAATTTGATCATTTTTGGTCTCATTTCGGGATCTGTCCATTGTCCCCCCCCTCTCCGGTCCAGTGACAGCCACTACTGGTTCAATATATATTAGGTCTCCATCCATTAATAAATCTTATCATTCGTTTAACATGAAATGGATTCATTCCAATCGATTTTAAAATCTCCTCATCCATACTTTCCAACATAGCACCATCAATTAATTCTTCTTCAAAAATACCGGCATATCTCTCCAAATCTAACACGCACAGTATCTTCGTGACATCATTAACGCTTAATCCGGATAAGTTTTTTGGCAATGTACTGGTTTTCACTGGCGACAAACTTAGAAAACAGTCGGGCGACATACTTAGAACAGAATCGGAATTTCGTACTGTTGTCGGTTCGTAATATATTTCATCGGCCGAGTTTTGATGGTCATTGTTCAACCTTTTTGTTTGAAGTGATGCTAATTCGTTCAATTTATCAGTTTTTGGCGTGCTTAAAACTTTACTAGGTAGTTTTTTCTCCGGGATGATGTTCCTCGTTGTTCGTGGCGTATCGGCTTCACCTTGATCATTTTTGTTTTCTTTTCGATGCATTTTCCTCTTTTCTATTTCATTTAAGAGGTTCTCTTTGCTTACGAAAAGTGGTTTAGGGTTGGAAGTATCTGGTAGAGCTTTCCCATCTTCTGTTTGGCTGGGAATCAGTCCGTTATTGCCAGTACGGTTGCAAGTGATGTCGCTTTCCGACTTTCGGAGTGTTCTTACACCTTTTGCAGGAACCGGCCGAGTCTTCTTGTTGCCAGTTCTGTTAGGAATGCAGCCTGTTTGGGCGTTGCTGCCCGTGTAGTTAATCTCGCTGTTCGATTTTCGAAGTGTTTTTTCAGGTTTTGGATCAGTCACTTCTACATAGATAAGTTCCTCGTCATGAGCCGGTAGAACCGTCTTGTCGCTGTCATTCCGGTTATAGTTAATCTCGCTGTTCGATTTTCGAGGTTTTATCATAGGCCATAAATCTTTAGTTTCCAAATAGGCAGATTCCTCATCAGAACTTTTGTGCCGACCTTGTATCGGTTGTGCGTTTTCCAGACTGTGTATTAAAGCCGTGTTTGCTTTCGAAATCGTCTTAAGTCCGCTTGACTCGAACTTTTGATAACGGGCTGCTGGAGGTCGTTGATACGCAAACGCCCTGCATCGAAATTGCGAGTCTTCGTTGTTCACATCGTAATCGTATCGTGTTGTTACACTAGCGACGTTCTCATAATCTCCAGAGCTCGACTTAAACAGCCTATCTAGGGTTTTGACCATTCGGACATATATGACTTCGTTTTCCAAGAATTCCTGCGCGACTCTGACATAAACTGGTGTATCTTTTGTTATCTCTAAACAACCATCCGTCGAGTTTTCGCCAAGAGCAGTCATAACAACGACCGTCTGTTCAATTACGTCTACAATACTTACTTCCTTTAAATTTGAAACAAAACTGGACAAGTTAGGATCTATAGTCGCCTCGGATAATTGTCGTAGAAACCTTACTTTGACCGGTACCTCGAATTTTTCTACCACTTCCGCCAATGTATATTGATTACAATCGCTCAAGGGACAAAACATTACCGTGCAATCGCAATGGAACTTTATCTCTTTCGTTGTTGAAACATCTCTACAATGAATACTCTTTCCTTTGGTATCCACACCAGTAATTTCTAGAATCGCGCCCTCTTGGAATGAATTCGAATTAGGTGAATTTGAATTATCATAGTCACCTAGAGTTAGAATGTGTTTAACTTGGTCGGACATTATGCTCAATTGCAAAGCCGATATATTTGAAAATTCACGATTTTCTACGACACATTTGACAGGATAAGCATATGGAAGAGCAACACCTTTACCGTCGGCATGGCATGCAAACTTTTTAATCTTTCGAACGCAATGTAGTCGAACGACCTGCCCTGAAGTAAGACTTGTACTGTCATTACCGCCGAAGTAACCAGATTCGACACGCACGACTTGTGGTAATTGAAAGTTCTCCACAAATCCTGCCAAGCTGTATTCCACATCACTCCAAACCAGGTTCTCAATAAACAGACCTTTGCTTACAGTGGCCATATTAATATCAACTTAATGATTGTCTAGAAACTTGGGTAACATTATATACCCGGTTCCGGCTACGTGGGCAGACGCAGTTTAAAACTTAGAAGTGTAAAAATAGTTATCGGTCTGTCACAACAGTCATGATACAAACAAACTCAACTCAAGGGTTAAATATCGAAATCGAAGATTCAGTCATGCAGATCAAAGCTGAAATTAACACACACCGTCTGACAACAAAAGCTCACGGGTTAAACTTAGGTGGGATAAATTACATGATTTGGATTTGAACTTTCAGCGAACAGAGAAATACACAACTACAATACGCGATCTAAGGACAATTTAAGGCTACCTTAAGTGTCAAGGAATTGGGGAAAGCTATAAGACTCGCTTATCAGGCCATAACAGACTGGAACAACTTGGACAGAAAGATAAAACTCTCTAGTAGTATTTCTAAATTTAGGAGAAACTTTTTAGCAATCTTTGAACTTTGCCTCGTATAATTTTTAAATATTTCTCACAGTTGTGTAGTATATATATATGCATGTCTTCCTTGTAAATTATTGGGCGGTTTTCAGCTGTGATAAAATACTCTAAGATTTTCCCATGCGTGAAGTTGTAGGAAAAAAGTATAATCGTGGTAGGTATGTACAGAGTAAATAATGACTCAACCTCGCAAGCCAGGTCCTCTACTTCCGCTTCCCTCCCAAACACGCTGGAGGCCTGGGGCTAGAGAGGCTGGCTTGCAAGGTTGATAATGGCTAGGACGCTGAAATATACTGATTAGTGTGTTACTGAGATCAGTTGTTCTGTATATTAGTGTATCATAGTCATAGAGCATTTCGTTCTGAACAATTTTCGACGAAGACAGATGGACAAAGACCACGTTTTCCCTGTTTTGTCAGGGCCAAGCTTAGGGTCAGGAGTATTCATAAACAGCAAGACATAAAAACAGTAAGGGTCGTCCAGTAAGGGTTGATCCAGTGTTACTACAGGAGAAAACCTGTGGTGCTTGGTAGAGTCAAACTGGAAGTACATACTCTTTTCTCATATGACAGAGGAGAAATTTTATTACTAGACAACTGCATGTTATTGTTGCGTTATTCAAACATGTACTTCGGTTTCGAACCGGTTATACCTTATAACACGTGTACTTATCCACAGGAAACGAAAGCTATTAGGGTTGGCCTTGGCAAGGTTAAATATTGATCGTATATGCTTGTTTATAGTTACATGTATAAATGTTTATTAATGAGGCTAGTTTATAGGTAAGCTATATGCATGTGTAAAATGGAAATATGTGGATAAGCAGAAGCAAGAACATTACTAAGTTGTGAAGGGATATGTAGACCATGATGTCCAGTGATTAACTAATCAAATGTTGCCGAAAAAACCTTGGCGGTAAAATTGTGTGTTTGAAGGAGGTTTACATTGTCACAGTTACAGTTAGTATGCTTTTATTCAGATGAAAAGTGGTAGAGCTTCCGTTAATAAAGAGTTCAAACAACGAAGTAAGACGACAAAGACGTACTTGACAATTTTTGCCCCTACACATTATCTTGCGCATTTTGAGTTTGGGATCACTGGCAGAGGCATACCAAGAGGGGGGGGGGGGGGGGGGG